GGAAACAAGTTGTCAATTTGAAGCCACTTGTTAGACGCTATTTTATTAATGTGAGGCTTTTCTAAGTCATGAGGGTGCCGTCCATGTAGTACTTTCTTCTTCCAGTTTTCTATTTTCTGTTTTTGTGGGTCGGAGTTGTCAGTGTTGTGAAGATTTGCCTGATCGCATAAGTTCAGTGGTGTGTAATTAGCGTCATTTAGGATAATGGCTTTGTGAATATCGCTGGTGTGAGACTTTGTGTAGAAAAATGTTCTTAACCTATTTATTTGTTTTAGCCAAAGGTGTTGGACGTCTATTAGGCCTCTGCCTCCGTTCTGTCTTTTGATAGTGAGTCTCTCTATAGCTGATTTTGGGTGAAGGTTATTGTGTTTTGTAAGTATTGTGCGTATTGTTCTTTCCAGTTGTTCGATGTCAGTCTTAGTCCATTTTATCACTCCGAATGAGTAGGTAAGTATTGGTATTGCAAAAGTATTTAAGGCTTTTATGAGATTTTTACCAGATAATTGTGACTTACACAGTGCGCCAATTCTCCTGCGGTATTCTAATTTCAATGTATCTTTAATTGCTGTGTGATCAAGTCCTTTAAGTTGATGATATCCTAAATATTTATATAGGTCTGCTGGTTCCATAGCTTCTATAATATCAGTATTGTTAACTGTATAGTTGCCCGGTTTTACTTTGCCTTTTATAATATGTACTGTTCTGCATTTATCCAACCCAAACGTCATGGTTATATCATTACTGAATTGAGTTGTTGTTTCTAAAAGGGTTTTCATTTGTTGTTCAGTTTTCGCAAATAATTTAATGTCATCCATATATATAAGGTGTGAAATAAGAAATTCTTCAATGCTATTTTTAAATTGATACCCAGCTTGACAGCGGTGCAATAAGTGAGATAAGGGATTCAGAGCGAGGCAGAACCACAATGGGCTAAGGGAATCTCCTTGGTATATACCCTTCCTGATTTGTATCTGTCGAGTTGTAAGAGTATTACGGCCATTGTTTAGTTGCAATGTAGTCTTCCAGTGTGTCATTATATTGCGCAAAAATTGTATTATTCTAGAGTTAACTTTATATATCTCTAAAACCTGTATTAACCAAGAATGTGGTATGCTGTCAAATGCTTTTTGGTAATCTATGTAGGTACAATGTAGATTTCTATTTTTTATGTTGGCATGTTTGTGAATAGTGGAGTCTATAATTAACTGCTCTTTACATCCCATGTGGCCCCGTCTACACCCCTTCTGTTCTTCGGCTATTATGTTATGGTTGTTAATATGTGAGTTAATTTTAACAGAGATTGCTGATGTTAAAATTTTGTGAATAGTAGGTAGGCATGTAATTGGTCTGTATTGGGAAGGCTGTGGTGTGTATTTAGTTTTAGGTAGCATGTACGTTATTCCTGTTGTAATAAATGCCGGTATATTCTGTTGTCCTAAAATGATCTCTGTTAAATTTTTTGCTATGTATTTATGTAAGGACGTTAGCTTCTTATACCAAAAATTGTGTATTTTATCTATTCCTGGTGACTTCCAATTATGTAATCTAGCTGTTATATCTGTAATGTCAGTTTTTGTGAATATATATATTCACTATAAATTCCATTTCTTCAATCGCTTTCCATGTGTTTGTTTCTTCTGTTATCCAACCTGCTCTATCGTTGTGTTGAATTTGTTCTTCCCATATGCTAGACCAAAATATTTCCAAATCTTCTTTTGTAGGTGTAACTATGTGAGTTTCTGCTGGTGAGTCGGTTTGGAGTTTTTGCATATTTCTGTATAACATTTTTTCATTTGTGGTAAATATTGTATTGTCTTTTTTGCGTTGTTGTGCCTTCTTGTATCTTCTAAGCCTATTAACTTTAAGTGCTAATTTTTATTTAAGAGTGTCCAAAAATTCCTCAGGTGTTTTGTTACTATTTTCGTGTCTAGTATGAGTAAAATTATTTTTTAAAATTGCTTCTACTCTCTTAACTACTTTATTTGACCTATTGTTGTTGATGTATTGTGTCATTCTACCACAGTCGGCTCTTAATTTTTCAATATCTTTTTCTAACCTTAGCTGCCATGGTGGTTTGGTAATAGGCCTTGGTGTTGTGTTAGTTGAGTATTCTGTTATTTTGAAGTTAAATTCTTCAGATATAACTAATGCTGTGCAATATGTGAGAGTGTGTATGTCTGTTAGTTGAGTGTCGTCAGATAAAAATTGTGGTAGTATACTTTCATTAAATAAATTAACTAATCGAAAAAGGTGTTTGCTATATCTCAGCTTGGGTAGTTTTGGACGGACTAATGGATCCATTTCAGAATATTGGGTCAGCGTTGCTCTAAATTTGTCCTGTATTTTTCGTATATTTTCTTGTATCGTAGTGTTTTGATTTGCTATACTTAGGGTCTCAATATCATTTTCTAACAAAACGGTCAGTGATCCAGTTTGTGTGGATATATGTGATGCTTGCGTATTTACTAGTGATTGTTGGTATTGAGAGTATTCTTGTGTTTCTGTATTTAGTGGCCCTTGAGTTTCTAAGTGTAATACGTTATATGAATCATTTTTAGCCATATTTTGTGATTGTGCAAGAGTTGTTGTGTTGGTTGTAAGGGTGTCGGTTGATTTGTGTTGTAGTAATAGACGTACTTCTTCTTTAAGCTGGTTTGTAGTTTCTTGGGATAGAAGTTTATTTCTGACTATGGTTCTTCTTTGGTCCGAAATTCTTTGTGCAGTGACATTAATCTCTGGGTATTGGCGTGTGGAATGTTCATGCAGTTGTTGTCTGTAGGTAGTCATATCAGTTTCTAACTTAGTAATGTGAAGGTAGCTCCGCATGATAAATATGTTTACGTCATTAGTCCATTTAATGCGAACTCTAGTTTTTCCAGCCTTGGTGGACGCAGGTAAAAAGGTATTCACCTCCCGCGCAACATTCAAGGTCAGATTAGGTGGAACTGTATTTAAAATGTGACTGGTGGGTGACGATGGTATGGATGGTGATGATGATCTAGATGGTGTGTATGATATTGTGCTTGGGCTATATGGTTCTATAGGCGTATTTGTCCTATTGTTATGTCTGGTACCATCGTCAAATGTTTCGGCTGTGGCATTTTTGTCGGTGGAAGCCCGCCTGCTCAACTCCACACCGCTGACGGTTCGCATGCTGAGACATCCAGCGTCAGCTCCAGATGTGCCCCGGCGGTCCCCGGGCAGCGGTCCTATACGTTTTCTTTTTGAACGTGTCTCCATTTTAAATGGGTTTCCAGAGCCACGTTAGCCACGACAGTAATTTCTCATTCGTGTGTCCGCCCCCCACGTGATTAGATGGTCAATCAGGACGTGTGTTATTATTATTATTATGGGAGTAGGTTGTTATGATAACTACCTTTAATTTCTTTATGTATTAAACAGTCTTTATGAGACTTTTAAAGATATTTTTATCTTTAACTTGTATTATCAAGGTAAACAGATTGCATTAATGACAGAACTAATTTGAGAATAAGAATTACATTTGTAATTAGATCTATAATACTACATGTACTCTACAGACACTACGGGATAAATAAATTGCATCTTAATCTTATAAAATCTCTTTATTTTATAGCTTCCCCCACCCTAGATTAAAAGTCTAAGCGCTGACCGAGCTATTCCAGGTATTTATTGTATTTATTATTAGTTGTCTATGTTCATTTAAGCCGGCACCTGGCGCCCGAGATTATTAGTTTTGTTAGAATTTGTGAGGCCGGACCAGTTAGTTCATTCATTTGTATTCAACATAGACATTCATTAGTTAAAAACATATTTTTTATTTTTTTAATATTACAGTAAGTATGTGCTTAATTTTACTGTTCAAGAAAAAAAAACATTTTCAATGGCCAATATCGGTTCAACTCAATAAGTACAAAATGTAAATGCAAATTAAAACACTATGTACCATAATGTATATTAGCAAACTGTAGTATGTTAGATTATATTAAATATAGTTTAATAAGTCTGTCCATTTAAACCCGAAAATATATTGTTTTCCACATTGCTTAATTTTCCAAAACTAGTAGTGGTATATTTTCTATACATTTGAATGGAACCAAAGGGTAAATGTACCCTTCCAAAAAAAAAAAACATTATCGGTTTACAATGAAAGAGTTTTGAGGTAACAAATATGAAAATAATTGCATAACATACATTTTTTTTTGTCTAAATGTTTTGTAATCTCATATATTACTCTTTTGTGTACATATCTTTGCAACCCAACACAAACACCTAACATATATCTTGAAAGAAAACAATAAGGTCAATACATAATTATATTTTTGAAAGAGTCATCATCTTACTCCTAAACGTAAAGGACCCTTCCATCAAGAGCTCAGGAACATGACATAACGACTACTAAACGTAAATACCTATATAGCTAGAGAAACCAGCTAAAACACGTTGTCGGACCGTAAAATTTTAGGGTTTGCCCCGATTTCTCTACGATCCCATTATTAGTTCCTAATTTGGTGGTTATGGGACCACTTTGGGAGTATACCCTTTCGATTACAAAAATTAAAAATCTTATTAATAATTTAAAAAACCGGTTCACAATTGACGGAGATATCGCGTAATAAACACGCAAAAAAAAATACAGACGAATTGATAACCTCCTCTTTTGTGTTTTTGAAGTCGGTTAAAAAGCGTAGCAATCAAAAACATGTTTATATTAATCATTTTATTTATCCTTAAAGTAAGTGTAATCGATATTTATTTTACATACAATTAAGGTGATTTCGAATATTTATATGAATATCACAAAACTCGAAGGAGCGACAGATGCCACATTAGTAAAAGTAAAACATAAAAATAATATAAAATAAAGTGTAAGGTTGGGGGCGCGACGAGCGCACGGCGAGGATAACAGCGCTCGCGGCGCCCCCGGCCGGCGGTCCTCCGGCGGCGCGCACAGAGTTAAGGAGAGAGGAAGACCGACACCGCCCGGTGCCGGCGGAGGAGCGCGGCCGGGACTAGCGTACTCAGCGCTGGAACAGCGGGTTGGGGAAATCGGCGGGGTGAGGTAGGGGTGCTGGGGGAGGGCGGGCACGACGCCACGCCACCAACCAGCACGCTACGGCGGCTGCTACAGCCACTAACGCTAGTAATGCTGTCAGTGCTAGAGCCACGGCTAAACCTGCCGCCGACACGCACACTTCACCCGCGCCCGCCGCTTGCCCACTATCTCCGGCGTCGCGTTGCCGCGCAACCTGTGAAGGGTCGCGGTGCTGCAGCGTCAGGATCTGGTTCGATTCTACCATTACTTCCTCGCGGAATTGTCCTGCTGGACCAAGGGCTTCACGTTTACGGCGCTTACCGAAGGCGTCTGCACCGCGACAGTTTACCTGTTTATCAGAAAAAAAAAATAATCTGCGATTAAAAGGTGATCTTCTCTTTTCCATTAATTTACATATTAACATGAGTTTGTTATAATGTTGTCAAGTTATAAGGTATTTATAGTATTTATTACACATATATGTATATTATTTTATACTTTACGTCTTTTGAAATAAATTATTATTATTTAAAAAAATGTAGCTAATCAAAATGTTTAAAAGTTAGACGCAACTTATTTTTGGTAGACGTTTGCTAAAATGTCGGGATAAAGTCTTGTTACACATTTTTCGGTCTTGCTCCCATTTTCTCAGAGCGTTTAACGCGCGATAAGGAAATTCGTTCCAAAAATCAAAATAATTTTGGTTTAACTAATAATGTTTTCTTCTGTAGGTATAAAGATGTATGTTACATGGCCCACGTTATTTATTTATTTATTTAATCTTAGGTTTGCCTACAATTGTTACACCTTTCTTAAAAATAATACATGCATGTTTTATAGAATATAGGTGTACAACATTAATTGGCAAACACAACATTTATGAAAAAAAACGGATATTAGGGTAACACATGATAGATAACTTGTACTCGTATTATTTTTACAATTCAAAGATTGCACTTGCACTTACTGTGACAATTGGTGGTTTAGAGGAAAAAATGATACAAGAGAAAAAAAAACAGACAAAAATGCAAGTAATCGTAACGTTATCGTTAAACAGATTTAGATTTACTTTAAACTTCAATTTAGTATATCTATCGGGTCTTTAATAATACTATGAAATGCTTACCGGTTGACATTTTCCGAAACAAACTCGTATGTTGCACACAAATCGTATGTTGTCACTACTAGGAAATTTAAAGGCATTAAAGGCGACGCGTAGTACACTGCCGTCTTCACTGCGCTCCCACTCGCCGAAGATTGATGGATCCGTTGCACAACCATCTTCATCAGTTACCCGATATTCATTTTCTAAGTTCGTAGATGCCTCGCTTGTCTTGGCTATGCAACTACGAGCGAATCCACCGTAGATATCTGAAAATCACATGTTAACAATGAATATTGAAATAATTTTGCATTAGTCCAACTTCGAGGTTTGGGATATGTTTTTTTGATACAGTGTACTCGTCTGGTTGGTCAGTTTCTATTGGTAACTATGGTCAATCATAGCATGTTCATAGTTATAATTATTTTGGTTTTGTTCTAAAGAAATATAATAAAGTGCATTTTCAATGTTTCGCTATTAGACTTACTTGACGGTTGCACATCGACTTGCAAAACTAGATTTTCTCCGATCTCAGCAGAACTGACTTGGCTTCCGGATCGGGACACAATTCTCATAGAGCATGTTGGTGGTGGGCCAGTATTGGCTATTGTGCCTGCAGTGGTCAACATTGACACATTGAACGATAGTGTGACATTTTGTTCTCCCGTTTGGTAGATACATTTGATGTGGAATGCCTTAGCGTTAGAAGTCACTAATTTTGGATGTTTCTGCATAACGAGGACGAAGCTCGCTAGACCCTGTTATATGAAAAGATTATTGTTATAAATTGTCATAATAAAGTTAAATTACAAATAAGTAAACGCAATTGTGCCAACACTTCTATTTAATCAAGTCATCAACACCATCAACAGCCTTTAATAATCCAATGCTGGGCCTAGGCCTCCTTAGAAAGGAGGTTTTGGCCTAATATACTTCGCTGGCCATATGTGTTGGTATAGGATTTTTGTCAAGTTTTCCTTCTCTTTGCAGGGGTGCTTTTAAACAAGTAAAAGAGTGAATTCTCGTGTACTGTAAATATAGTATTAATTTGTGGGTCTTAATTTTTTGACGTATCGTATTGAAGTTGTAGTGACTGTATTAACAACCAGAAATATATCATCATCATTTTTTCCTGCTCAGTTCCTTATTTCATTATAGCGGCCGTCAACCTGACACTAAATCTCATTGGGAATGTCATCGTTTTCAGATGTGACAAAGTAAAAACTTTAAGCAACGGGCATGAAGTGGGCACAAGAAATCATAATGATCAATAAAAATAATAACTGAGCTCAAATATTTAGAATGCTAACTTACATTGACATGTACTAAGCCACACTCGCCAAAGTGTACAGTGAAGTCGACTATATTCTCTTCGTCCTTGGGTGTATCTACAGCTAGGCGACAGCGTTCGTCCTTACTATAGCTCTTAACGTACAGAACTCCGTTGAAGTCTTTTATCTTAAGACTTACTCGTACACCATCGGCAAGGCAATGAACCTAATAAATTAAAATGGATTTTTTACTCAAATACTTAGAAACATATTGTAATAGTAACAAAATCTGCTACTGCTTACCTGCATATCGGGCAGAGGGAAGTCCGTACGATACACAGGTGGATTTGTCGGATAGGGAGTGCAGGCAACGCGCGGGTTACCAGTGTAACCAGAGATGCATGTGCAGTGTGGACGGTGGGCGACAGCATCACAGGTAGCAGAAATACCGCAAGACTCCGATTTGCAGGCATCGATGCAAGTACCATTAAGACAACGGGAACTGTCGTCGCATTGGTTGTCGTTGCGACAACCCCGTATATCGCAGTGGTCCCCGCGCATTACGTAACCACGAGTCACATCGCACACGCAGCGACCTCGAATGTCCACCGTCCATCCCTCGACCGCACTACATGGCACACATTCACCATTTAAGTCGATTCCTTGTCCTTCTATACATTTCGGGATTGGTCCTGTAGCAAAAAATGTGTTATTTATTTATCATATTGCTTTACAAAATGTGGAATAATGTTAGCACTCTATAGTAGTTTCCCTGCTTTTTTAATTTACTTACCAATTTTATAATAGAGGTAAATATAGAATTCATGAAAATTAATGCAATTTATGCAAAAAAATACGACTGTCTTCTATTCATCTGAATGATGCTTCTTCAAGATTCGAACTTGTTTTTAAATTTATACACATATGATCATAACTGAGGTACCGCTTTCTAATAATAAACAAATATTGACTTCGAGTCAACTACTTAGTAAAGAAGTATTACTGCATATTTTTCAAAATATTACTGGACGACCTAAAAGCTTCGTATTTTTTTGATTTTGATCATAAAATAGAGAAACATTCTAAAATTTGATCATATTATATAATTCTATTACGTTATTTTCAAGTGATTGCGATTTACAAATTAAACTACATAAAACTGTAAGGTGCAACTGCCCAAAATTTGTAACTTGGAAGTCGAACTTGCAAAAATCGGAGTGACGGCCGCATAAAAGCGTTTCTCCTAGTCTAATATTGTAATATTATAATGCAGTTAGTAATATGTGTTGTTAATTAAAAAGTTTGGATACTTACTATTATTAGGAGTACACTTGATAAAGGCATTGCCCGAGTATCCAGGCACACATTCACATATCATTGTCCTTACTGGTCGAGTGTCAACTACTGTGCATTCAGCGTTTATACCACAAGGCTGGATTGCTAAGCAAGGGTTTACACACTTAGTATTTAAGCACACAGTACCAGAAGGACAGTCCACGTCAAAGTAACATTGCCGTTTTGTAGTGGCTACGCATCCTTTTTCAGTGCTTTGATAACCAGGTGGGCAGACACAATGTACTTCATGTTGATGTACTCGGCATTCAGCTTGATCATTACAAATTGTTGCATTACAGGGGTTTACACACTTAGAATTGATACAGGATCTATCCATGGGACAGTCCGAGTTAGCACGACAACCAATAGGTGTGCAAGCAATGGTTGGATTACCAATGGTGCCAATCTTACATCTGCACGAAGGACGGTGTTCTGCGCCGTAACATTCAGCAGAATCACCACAAATATTGGAATCTACTGAACAAGCTGGTACACAACGGTTGTTAAAGCAAGTCATATCGTCAACACATTCTGAATTAGATTGACACAATACTCGGTTGCATCCGTAGTAGGCATCTCCGATAAAGCCCGGTTTACATGCACATACCGGCTTATGATCTTTTATTTGACAATCAGTATTCGGACCACATTCACATGGGTTTTTGCAAACTGAAGTCACGCAGGCATTATTCGAAGTACAATTATCATCGGCTTGGCAAACGACATCCACAATAGCTAAAGCTGGACGACATACACCTCCACCGTTGCTTACGTATCCTGGTGGGCAAGTGCATAACATTGTTCGTACAGGTAAAGTAGGTGAAACTTCGCACTGTGCTGGAGTAGCACAAGGTCGAAGCTCTATACAGGGATCAACACATCTTGATGACAAGCAAGCTAGTTTTGATGGACAATCTGCGTCTATATAACATTCTTCCGCTGATGGTGGCTGACATTCAACATACGGACTTCCAATGTAGCCGTGATCGCATTTGCAAACTGCCATATGATTTCTAACCAAGCAGTAAGCTCCTTTGCCACATAAATCGCCTGCTAAACATGGATTAATACATCTGTGAGCGCGACATTGTTTATCCAATAGACAATCACCATTTGTTCTACATTCAATGGCATGACATCCTGAATATCCATCGCCTTCGAATCCAGGGTGACATCTACAGAACGGTTGATTACTTTCTACATAACATTCAGCATTTGCTCCGCAAGTGTTGTTTAAGAGACAGGGGCTGATACAATTACCGTTCACGCATGCTTGGCCCGATTGACATTCTGAATTACTGCGACAACCGACAATGTGGCATCTTCGATACGGGTCACCTTCAAAGCCATCGCGACAAGAGCATATAGGCCTGTGATTTCGGATGAAACATTCTGCGTTGTCACCACAACTGCACGGGTTACGACAAATTCTATTTACACACGATTCGTGATCACCGCAGTCATTATCAGAAGAGCAGCTAAGCGCTGGTAGTTGTGCTGGTTTACAATTACCACCTTCTTCAGGTATAAATCCATCCGGGCAGCGACATATTAAGGTTCGGAATGGTACACTATCCGAAACGGTACAACGTGCGTTGCCAGTGCATGGTTTCAATTCATTGCAAGCTTCACGACATTGATCCCTGAGACAGGCATAACCACTGGGACATTCACTATCCATTCGACATTCGGGTTCGCCAGTAATAGGAATTCTTTGGCAGTGAACTAGAGGATCACCGATCGGTAGTGCTGAAGGACACTTACAAGACGGAGCATGGTTACGAGCGAAACATTCAGCGTTACTGGCACAAGGTGAACGGCCTTCGTATGAACAGGCGTTGCGACAAAGTCCTTTAATGCATACACTGTCGTCATTACAGTCATTATCGATTTCACATTCAGCGGATTGACACCTCACATAAGGATTTCCTGAAGTTCCAACTGGGCACCGACAATTAGGTCGATGGGCCTTTCCGAAGCACTCTGCTGTGATAGCGCAAGGGGCATCGATTATGCATGGATTGACACACGCGCCATTATAACATGTGTCGCTGTCAGAACACTCTGTATCTGCTGTACATCCAACTGCAAACATAATTTTTTCCAGTTAGTACATTTATAGTCAGTGTGTGTCTATTTGTTAATTTATAGTCACATGCGTATTTATAAAAAAGTGATATTTCATACCTTTAGTACAGCCTACGTAGGGGTTGCCTGAATATTCACGTTTACAATAGCATACAGGATGATGTTTTATTACAGTACATTCAGCGTTTAAGCCGCAAGCGCAAGGATCAGCGCATGCGCCATTAACGCAGGCTTGTGATAGCGGACAATCAGAATTTGCCTTACAGCCAACAGGAATAGTTGATTTATCAGATGCTGGAAAAATAAAATTGTCATATTTTGTCAGTTCAACAAAGTTCTACAAACAATGTTGTAAAAGGGGTTTGATTTTATTATCTGTTATGTTACTAATGTGAATTGTGTAAACAAATTAATTTTATTTCTTGATCGTTACTATCACTTATACATTTTGATCTAGATCTTGAAGTAATTTGAAGTAATAAATAAAAATTTAATAATGTAATCTAGCTTTCATGGTACAAGCTCTCCTTATTTTGAAAGTAGATTGCGTTGTGTGTCAGATGTCCAAAAATATTAATATTTAATATTACTTAAATAAATTATGTATTCCTTGTTTCTTTTCTTTTCAACATAAGCTGTATGCTGTTTTTTTTATAAAATAAAGTTTATTTTACTTTTATATTACACTACGCTTTTGATGACCTTTTAAACAACAGTAATACGGTTTGAAGTTTAAGTGTGAAGTTCTGGGAGAACATGATAATACTTATGTAGATTAAAGTATAAGAATGTGTCCATCTAGAAGGGTTAAGATCCAAAGAGAGGGATATTACACACCCAATTTTTGCCAACTATAATTTGATTTCACCCACGTGATAGGAGCAAGCCTATCGTTGCCAGACCAACTTTGGGATAAAATATATGTGCACTAAAAATGTTGATTAACAAGACAAAATTATCTTTATCCCACCTCAGCGATATAACTACATTCATCCTTCCAGTTGCAGTTGCACAATATTATTTATAAATGCATATAAAATTAAAATATTTGAAATAAACTTACGTGGTACGCAGCGAATATTTGCATCGCCCGAATAATTTTTAGGGCAAGAACAGTAGGGCTTATGATCTATAATGCGACACAGTGCTCCGAGGCCACATGCGTTGTTACAAGGATTCACGCACGTGCGATCAAGACATGATCGCTCAAAACCACACTCTTCGTCATTGTAGCATTCAAATAGCGGTGTTCGGGGTACTGTTTAAAAATGAAATAGTTAAGAATTATGTAAATACAGATATTAAGGTAATACAGAGAGAAATCTATTGCATTATTTACCATTATTGCATTCAATTCGAGCATTTCCAGTATATCCAGGGGCACATGTGCAGCGAGATGAATGGTCAATAGATTCGCAGATTGCGTTTTGACCACAAGGATCGGCTCTACAAGACTCCACGCAGCTTCCACGATGACATGTTTCAGTATTGGAGCAATCAGTATCGCTTGTGCATTCAGCTTGTGGTGGAGTTCGACATCCATTATCGGGTGCTACGCGACCACCATCGGGACAGACACAAGCCACTGCACGTAATGGTAATATGTCAACAATCTTGCAAATCAGGTCAGAATCGCATGGATTGCCGAGGCAGAGATTTACACAGTGTGCATTAACGCAGGCCAAAGGTGTGGAACAGTCAGAGTCTGTGGTACACTCACTGTGGTTCTGTGGTGTACTACAGCCTCGACTGTATGGTTCCCCACTACGGTCCGAAGGGCACGTGCAGATAGCTCGATGGTTTTTAGCGGTACATATTGCATCAGGAGCACATGACTGGTCAGAACATGCTGGTTGACATTGTCGGTTAAGTCGGTTACACACTTGAGAGTCGTCACAGTCCTCGTTGTAGTGACAGATTCCAGAAACACAGGCACGGCGGGGGTCGCCTTGAGTGCCGGGAGGACAACGACAGCTAGTAACATGTGCAACCACTACACAGTTAGCGTCGCGTCCACAGGGGGTACCCAAGCGACAAGGGTCTTGGCAATATCCGTTGATGCAGCTCTTATCGAAAGGACAATCCTCGTCTGATGTACACTCAGCTGAAAATAAGTTCATGAAATATATTACCTGCAGATTTCTCTTAATATTAATTCTGAGCAAAAACTTAGAACACACAATTGGCAAAAATATGCTGGTTGATATTGTCGGATAAATCGGTCATCAGTTTTCGTTGTAATGACAGATAAGATAGGCTAGTTGACTCAATTTGAAAACTTGGTAAATTATTTACTTTAATATCTATTTTATCCCAAAAAACCTATATTTTAAAGAAAAACCAATATTTAAATTAAGTATTTTGTATTTAAAAAAACAATTTAAATTTCCTTCGAAAACGCTCAAGTGTCATGGCGTCTTGAATGACGTCACAGTCTGCGAAATAAAACTGTTTACATCTGTGTCCAGTGTCAACTGTTTTCAAAAAATGAATAAGAAATAAAGAGTAACATGCTCTGTTGTATGAAAACGTCAACAACAACAATGATGTTTTGCATAGCGTGACGTAACACTTTCTGATTGGTGTTCGCTGTCACGTGACTTAATTCCCTTTTTTGTACGAATTTATTTTTAAAAAATATTAATAATCTAACTTTTGTGAGAAATAGACTGATTTTTTCTTATCTATGTCTCTTCATTTTTAATTTGAAACTATAAAACAAGCAATTGTTATTAGTGGACACAAGCCTATTGTTTTAATATTACAATACCGGCTTAAAAGTTTTCTTTGATATGTAATTATGTATATATACACATAGTAGTCGGTTTTATAAATTACAAGCAAACTGTATAAATTACAATACGTGACTACATACGTGTATAACAATATCTTGCGGGATCTCCAGCCGTTCCTGGTGGGCAGTGGCATCGAGCACGATGGTTTGTTGCATCACAAAGAGCACCAGAACCGCACGCACTGGCGCATGCTGATATGCAACGCCGTGATACACACGCTTCCGCAGTACCACATTCGGAGTCAGTTGTACATCCAGGATTTGGATCATCCGATAGAGTGCAGGCAACGAGAGGGTTGCCACGTAGTGGTGGTACACATGTGCAATGGCCACGATGATCAGCTGCGCGGCATTGGGCGCCGACACCACATTTCATATCAGCACATGCGCTAACGCATTGACGATTCAGACACCGCTCTTCTGAACTGCACTCCGAATCAGAGTTACATTCCCCTCCTATTAAAATATTGTAATAAATAAATTAATTGGTATTTAATTTTAAATTAAGCTTTATAAACTTAATTCGCCGTCCACGCATTATTTGCTCTTTTGTATAAAAGTTTTTTTACAAGTACCCTGTATATTGTATTTTGTGTATCTTGTTACTAAAAATATCTTAAAATTATTATAATATTGTTATTGAATGTGTTGAGTGTAATGATTCGATATCTCAGTGTACGCCAAGGATGAGACTATTACTGGTTGTGTATGTGTTTAAACTTTCTCATGTAAGTGAATTATTATTTTAAATTCTTATGAGAAATAAATATTTCGCAAACCTCACTTTTGGGCTCTATATAGTAAATACTGTATATATTTACAGGATTTTCTAGGTATAAATAACTAGTGACTATTTACAGTGCAATGTACATACATTAAGTTGCACTAGTGAAGGTCATGGGAGATTACTTACACCAACCGTCATATATTTACAACAAACCTTCATCTCGAAAAAGAAATTAGCCGTGTATAAACATTTCGTAAAAAAATATTATGAATATTAAAATTAACGTCATATAATATAAACCTGTAAATAAGTGTTCGTAAGTACAATTTCGACTTGTAATTATTGTTTCATTGCATACATTATTAGAATTATGAAAAAATAATACTGTACTAAAATAAAAACTTACTAGGGTTACATTGTACTGAGGCATCGCCAACGAGTGGCTTGGGGCACTCGCAAACAAGTGTACGGAAGGGTAGTGTATTTGCAACTCGACATATTGCTCGGGAGCCGCATGACGTAGGCTCACAAGGATTCCTGCATTGGCCTTGTAGGCAAGCCAAATCAGGTCCACATTCAGCGTCCAATTCACATAGTGTTTGGTCAACAACTAAAAATGGAAAATGTGTTCATATAATAATATTAATTTAAAAATCAATTCCACCACAAATTTATGAATATTTTTACAAACCCGGCTGACAGTCGATCTTCGGATTACCCTGTGTACCTCTAGGACACTCACAATTAGGTACATGACGCTCAACAGTACAGATAGCACCCTGAGCACATGCTCCAAGACATGGGTCCTTGCATGTTTCACGAGAACACGCCAGCCATGAAGCGCAGTCTTCGTCTACAACACATTCAGCTCTACGACATCCAATAAATGCGTTGCCATGAGCGCCAGCATCACATTCGCACGACGCAGTGTGTCCCCGAGCGACGCAATGTGCTTCTATGCCGCAACGTGTTCTTAAACAAACTTTCATACATGAACCGCTCTCACAGCTCTCATCATCGGGGCAGTCGTTGTTGCTGTGGCATTGTACTGTAAGAGAAAAAATATAAAACAAATATATTTTACATACGTATGAAGGATGGTTTGTAAAGAGTCAAAAAAATACATTTATTACCAGAGTAACATCCTGTGTAACCATCACCTTCGTAGTTGGGTAAACACGTGCAAAGTGCTCGATGCTGTTTGGCTATGCAGCGTGCATTGAGGCCACAGATATTGGGTTCACAAACCGGGGAACAGTGAGTGCCGACACACGCTGCGTTGTCGGCGCATTGACTATCAGTTACACATTCTGGTACAGGTAAAGGTCGATCCGTGATAACAATACGATCACATCTTACAAATGGTGAGCCCGTATATCCAGCGGGGCAAGAACATACCGGGGCATGTCTCACACCAGTGCAAATAGCGTTAATACCACATGCATTTACGCATGGATCTGTACATTTTCTGTTAATACAAGAACGGTGTCCAGGACAATCATCATTGACAGTACACTCGTAATATGTGCAAATTCCAGCACGGCAGGTACCATGTGGTCCACATGGATTAGGGTCACACAGGTCAGACGCGTTAACGGGAGCGGTTTCTAAAACAAAATCGATTTCGATCATCGGTAAATATCACATTGCTTTACTTTGAAGTAGTAGCACTGTTGCATTTACAGTTAAAATATTAATAGTGATAATTATTAAATGTAAATATTACATAACTTAGATAATGTACTAACCTATGCAGTTAACGAATGGGTCCCCTGTTGTTCTTTGTGGGCACCAACATATGGGCGCGTGGTTAAATACACGGCACATGGCGCCATTGCCGCAAGTTCCGGGACATGGATCGACGCACTTATTACGCACACAAGTGCGATCGCGTTGGCATTCTGAGCTAACGACACATTCCGGTCGGCATCCTGTTGTAGACGCATCACCAAACGTGCCGCTGGGACACGAACACATTGCAATGTCACCTGCTACCGAACACACAGCACCTGGTCCGCATGGCGACGGTGTACATGGTGGTTCTGTTACATAGAAACGTATTAGAATGTTTCAAATTTTCAAAAAGTTTAAATAAGTTATAAATACTGTCAGTTTTAAATGATTTACTCACTGGTTATTTCAACGTGACATCTTTCAAATGCATTGCCTCTGGTGCCAGGTGGGCATGAACATAACGGTATATGGTTGACAGTCTCACAATCTGCTCCAACACCGCAAGTACCTTGGCAAGGATCACGGCAATGAGAGCGTATACAAGCCTTTGAAGGTGAACAATCTGAATCTGCAACACATTCTGGTCGACATCCTGTATACGGATCGCCCCGTAATCCTGGTTCACACTCACAAGAAGCACCTGCTCCCTTCGTCCTGCAAAAGGCGCCAGGGCCGCAAGGTGACGGAAAACAGGGATCGTTTGGAGGTTTGGCTGAAATATGGTAAATAAAATGTAAGGTCTTGACGTACGCTCCAAATAATTTACTAGCAAACACTCTAAGCACTGTTTCCTAAGTCGAATGTTACAACGAAAGAAGCGAACGATGCATTAGGCTTCCCTAGTAAAACCCATGCCTAAGTTTTAAAAGGGAAAACCAAAATTACCGAACACTAAAACCCTACATGCAATTTTTTTTAACTGAGAAGTGTTTATATCTAACTAACTCTCCTAAATGTTTCTTGGTAAGCAATATTCCGTTTTTTTTTAATCTGTCTTACGAATTTGTTCGATGTGATGACACGCTGCAAGAGGGTTTCCAGTAGTAGGTGGGGGACAAGAACAGCGGGGCTCGTGAGCTACTGGAGAACATTCTGCTCCCTGGCCACAGGCTCCAGGGCACGGGTTTACACAATGTCTGTTAATGCATGTTAGATGCCACTCGCAATCACTAGATTCAAGACACTCATAACGACATAATGGCGGGGTTCCAACAAATCCAAATCTGCAGTGACAGCGGCCGTCGATACAGTCAGCGTTTAGTCCACAATCCGAGCAAGGTGTTTCTTTTTTGGGTTCTGAATCTAGGACTGTAAAAAAATATAAATAATCATTACACACCATTCATTTTAAAAAGGTGCATGCCTCGAAGCAAACATGATATTTTACCTGGTAAACAACGTATGAAGGGGTCGCCGGTATAGCCAAGCGGACAAGTACAGATTGGGGAGTGCATGGTTGTACGGCAAAGAGCATGAGCGCCGCAAACACCAGGACAGGGGTCGCGACATTTGCCGTTACGACAAGCTAACGCGGGGCTGCAATCAGATGAGCTGCGGCACTCAGGTCGGCAGCTTGGTGGATCTGACATCATTGGTGGTCGACATGAGCAGTGTGCAACGGTCCCTTGAGCATGACACACGCTGTTTGGTCCACACGGGTTTGGAGAACACGGAGACGACTCTACAGTAGCTGTAGAAATTTATAATCACAATCGCAATATTTACTTTAATTTTACGTATTCTCAAAATTAAGTTATTAATTACTAACCAATAACACGCCGACACGCTATGAATGCATCTCCCTGAAGAGGTGCTGGACACTCGCATATTGCTATATGATTATAAACATTGCAAATAGCATCGAGACCACAGGCATTTCTGCACGGATCCACACATTTATAGTTGACGCAGGCTTTTTGCTTATCACACTCATTATCTGTAGTACATTCAGGTCGACATTCAATGGTAGGATTGCCATGATATCCTTGAATACATGAACACGTACCATTGCTGCAGATAGCATTAATTCCACAAGGATTTTGGGAACAACTGTCAACAGGTGCTGGTAATTGTGGTTCTGGAAATAATAAAAAATACATATTCGAAGAATAAATAAGTTAGGTAAGCCTGAGGTTGCCTATAACCGATTTCATCCTGTTTTTAGTAACAAGATTGGTCTGAATTGGAGCAGGTGCAAGTTTGCTACAAATTTAATTAATATGAACGATTTGTAATAATCAGTTGAATCTTCTTGGTTCAAAGGCCAAAAAAGTTCAAAGGTTCAAGGGGTACATAGGTTCATTGTAAATCTAAAACTTACCATCGTGTATATAACATCCTTCAAAGGAATTACCACGGTAGCCTTGTAAACAAGTGCATATAGCCACGTGATTCATTGCTCTACATTCAGCATTTGGCCCGCAAGAACCGAGACAAGGATCTATACATCTCTCTCGGACACAAGCTCTATTGTTTGGACAATCTTCGTTAATTGTACATTCTGGCTCACAGTTTGGTGGCGCACCAAAGTATCCCTCTTTGCAACTACAAATTGCGGTGCCTGCGTTATCTCTGCAAAAGGAGAAAGGACCACACGGATTTGGTTCACAGGGAGTTTTTGGTATTGGTTTTAATATTTTCTCCTTTGAACATCTGAGGAATGGATCTCCTTCATATCCAGGAAGACATGTACAGTAAGGACTATGATGATGTACACCGCATTTTGCATTTTCTCCACATGCTCCAACACACGGGTCAATACATTTTTGTCTGACACATGCCTTTTCAAGAATACATTCTGAGCTCATCATACATTCTGGCCGGCAATTTGGAGGATGCCCTATATATTCTGGCTGACAAGCACAAATTGCTTTATTATTAATAGCATTACATATACTGTATGGACCACACGGCGACGGATTACAGGGATCAGTTGCTGGTTCTAAAAATACAATATGTAAATTGATTAAGAAAATCGGAGATAACAATATAACACCTTGGTTGTTTGTAACAATATGCGTTAAATTACCTGTTCTAAGTATACATTTATCATATGGATTACCGACGTATCCCAAAGAGCAAACACAGTTGGGAACATGATTAATGATTTTACATTCAGCTCTTATTCCGCAAAGTCCAGGGCAAGGATCTTGACATTTGTTATTGATACATGCTAGGTTTTCTGAACAGTCAGAGTTCAGGACACACTCGGGCCTGCAACCTTCATAAGGATCGCCGAAGTACCCAGTTACACATGTACAACTGCCGGCGTTGTTACGTTCTTGACATATAGCATTAGCCCCACAGGGGTTTGGTATGCAAGGTTCGATTGAGATTGCCGGATTTTGAACTGGAGTAACTGCATATCAAAATTTTTTTTTAAATTTTAGTAAACAATATAAATAAAAATATATGATTAGAACATAATCCTTTACCTTTAATTGGAGTGCATTGATAGAATGAGTCTCCTTCGTATCCTGGTTGACATGCACACTGTGGTGAATGGCTAATAACCCGACATTCTGTGTTAAGCCCACAAGCACCAATACACGGATCAGCACATTTGTTGTTGATACAGGCCTTATCAAAGCTACATTCACTGTTAACAACGCATTCCGGGCGACAATACGGCGGTTGTCCTATGTAACCAGTTGTACACGAACACGAAGGTGAATCGTGTATTGCGCGACATTCAGAATTTGGTCCACATGGTGATGGCTCACACGGTGTTCTTCTTGGTGGTAATGATTCACCTTTTAGAAATAAAAAATAATAATTAGTTAATATTTTTTTTTGTTAAAAGCAGTAAAATGAAAGAAAGTCTATAGGCAAAAATTATAAGAATTAATTACTTAACATGCAAAACTTACGCGTATAAATGATTTGATACTCACTTTTAATTGCAATGCATCGAGTAAATGGATCACCAGTAAAACCATTTCTGCAGTAACAGATAGGCTTGTGGTTATGAATACGACACTCTGCACTTAACCCACAAGATCCAATACATGGGTTTATACACTTTTGATTGGAGCACGACATGAGACTTGTGCAATCAGATTCGACTAAACATTCCGGTCGACATGAAGGTGGTGTTCCAAAGTAACCAATTAAACATGAGCACATAGCTTGTTCGTTCAATGTTCGACACACACTGTAAGGCCCACATGGTGATGGCACACAGGGATTTCTATTTTCTGGCGTGACTAAAACAGACAATTTATTAACACGTTATGGACTACATACATTGAAGACACGTGAATGACTATCAAAATATATACCTGTTATTTGCTTGCATGAAAAGAAGGCATTTCCACTTGTATTCAATGGACAACTACACATTGGTATGTGGTTAAAAACTTCACACAACGCATCCTGCCCGCATAGATTTATGCACGGATTTATGCATTTATTGTTCACACAGGTCATCGTTGGGTCGCAATCAGAATTATGTGTGCACTCTGGACGACAACTTAGATAAGGATTGCCAAAATAGTTAGGGATACATGTGCAAAGCCCGTCATTACATTCAGCATTTGCTCCACATGGACTCGGATTACATTTATCGTAAACAGATGGTACTTGTTCTGTAATCAATAAAAAGTATGTTAAAAATGTTTATGGCTACCTAGTTTAGCACTGGTTTTATTTAAATCGACTACTTGGTATGAAGAGCATTAAATTATATCTACCTATCTCCTGTTTTACGTGACAACTTTCGAATGGGTTGCCGGTATATCCTTCTCTACAACTGCATATAGCGGCATGCTGATATACCTGACATTCTGTTTGTAAACCGCATGAACCCAGACAAGGGTCGCGGCACTTAATATTTATACAAGCTTTGTTGCTAGGGCAATCTGAGTTCACAGTACATTCCGGACGGCAGTTGGGTGGAGTACCGATAAAGTTTTCGATGCAAGTGCATGAAGGTACTTGATTGACAATTTGACAAACAGAATTTGGTCCACATGGAGATGGTGCGCATGGATTTTGAACTGGAGCCTGAGTTTCTGTAAATATGATAAACATAAAGTTACTAATTATAGACCCATCTCAATATTAACAGGTTTGTCCAAAATCCTATGAAAAATTATAAATAGGAGACTAATATAAAATCAGTTCTTCAAAAAAATAAGTTCAGCCGACTTCAGACAATACTAACAAAGAGCACTAAAAACCTAGCAGCAATCGTCATTTTTTGAAGAGTTCCGTTGTCTGTCTCCGAAAGCCATCATCAGATCTATATGAAATTTAAGTAGGACCATTTCTGAATAAACCCTTTTCGAACAAAAAAATAATTTTGAAAATCCGTCTATATATGACGTATTGCCCGAACATACATTAAAAAAACATCTGAATTAATACCCTCCTTCTTTTTGAAGTCGGTTAAAAATAGGCTTTATACATAAACATCTTATCTTTGAAATAAACAAATCGGTACTACACAAACTGTACTTACCAATAACAGGAGCACATCTAATAAACGGATCACCTTCAAAACCACTCCCGCAGGAACATATTGGTGCATGATTTACAACTTTGCATTCAGAATTCTGTCCACAGGCACCAATACATGGGTTTATACATTTTTGTCTTACACAACTCTTAGTCGCATCACATTCTGAGTTGACAGTGCATTCAGGTCGACAATTCGGCGGCAATCCGAAGAAATCAGGCAAACATGAACAAGATGCTAATCCATTGTTATCCTTACAAATAGAATTACTTCCACATGGATTCGGCGAGCAAGGATTTTGAGGGGCTGGTACTGTAAAATAAAATTTAAATAAACAGTTTTCAATGGCTTTAGTAACTAACTACTTTCTTGATTTATCTTTGTACATTAACTTACTGGGTTCATTTATTATAATATGGCAGTAATTATACGGATTTCCAGTATAACCAGGAGCACAATTGCAGGACGGGATATGATTGATTACTTCACATAAAGCCGTGGAACCACAAACTCCTGGACATGGATCTTCACATTTATTCTTGAGACACGCTTTATTAAATTGGCAATCGGTATTAACCACACACTCAGGTGTACAGGTCTCGTAGGGATTCCCAAAATAACCAACTTCACAAATACATGCTCCAATACCATTTCTTGAAACTTTACAAAGGGCGTTAGTGCCACAGGGGGTTGGGTTACATGGATCCAATTTTTCAACTGGTGATGGTATAAGATAGCAAAATGTGAACGGGTCGCCGGTGTAACCATCTTGACATGAGCACATAGGGCTATGCAGGCGTACAGCACATTGCGTGTTGGTCCCACAAGATCCAGGGCAGGGGTCTTTACACTTATAGTTAATGCAAGCTTTATTCGATGCACAATCATCGCTTGTAGTGCACTCTCGTTGACATTGAGGTGGGTTTCCTTCAAATGTTGGTTGGCACGAACAATGGTATGAGTCGCCTCTTGGAGTGCATATACTATTTGGACCGCAAGGTGACGGTACGCAGGGATTTACAAGTGGTTCATCCTCAATTTGAACTGAAAATATTTAAGGTTTCATTAATTTTAGAAGATATTAAAGTATATCTAAAGAAATAAGTCAAACTGATGTTACTAACACCATGTTGTGTTTTTATGTGTAAACATGTACTAAACTATTTGCTTTTATTAAATAAATAATTACCGTAGCAGTAACTAAATGGAGAACCCGTATGACGTGGAGGACAAGTACATATTGGGTTGTGTTTATTAACATTGCACAATGCGTTATGGCCGCATGAACCTGGACAAGGATCTTGACATTTTCGATTGATACAAGCCAGAGACGGAGAGCAATCCGTACTCTGAATACACTCGGGTCGACAATTAGGTGGATTGCCTGTAAATCCTTGAATACAGGCACAACTTGCTTGACCATTTGCTTGTCTGCAAACACTATTAGGTCCACATGGTGATGGGTCACACGGCTTGCTGGTAGTTGCTAAAAACAATACAAAGTGTTAAAGGAAATATTTATTATATTTATCAGAAAAACAACAATGTATTCGTGTATGTATTGTTAAATACGCACTTTCGATCTTTTGGCATTGAGTAAATGCGTCTCCACTCATACCCATTGGACAACTACAAATTGCTACGTGATTATAAACATTACATTCAGCGTTCAATCCACACATATCTCGACATGGGTTAACGCATTTCGACCGTAAGCATGCCTTATCTAAGGGACAGTCTGTGCTTAAGACGCATTCAGGTCGACAGCCAAAATATGGGTCTCCTTGATATTCAGGCAAACAACTACATACGCCGTTATTACATATGGTATTTGCGCCACAAGGTGACGGATGACAAGGGTCAACGTCTTCTGTTTTTTCTGAAAACAAAAATGCCATCAAACAATTAAGTACTTTCAAAGTACTTAGACGCAATTAATTCTGATTATTTTTAAGAAATTCACCTGGTGGTTTGATAGCGCACATTGCGAATGGATCACCTGTATAACCCGTTGGGCAGAAACAAATCGGTATATGGTTTATTACATTACATATAGCATTCAAACCGCAAGAACCTAGACACGGGTTTTGACACTTCATGTTCATACAAGCCTTGTCATTGCTACAATCTGTGTTGACAACACATTCTGGCTTACAGTTAGGCGGGGTACCAAAATATCCTACGAAACAAGAACATGATGGAATACCGCCAACATCACGGCACTCAGCATTCAACCCACAAGGGGAAGGTATGCACGGATTTACTGGTTCTGCTTGTACAGTGGGTTGTGTTAACAGCATAATATAACAAATCGAAAATGGATCGCCAGTGTAACCTTGTTTACACGTACAAATTGGATTGTGTTTTATTACACGGCAATCTGATTGTACACCGCATGCTTTTTCGCAGGGAGATACACATTTAAAGTTTTCGCATACTTTATCTAAAGAACATTCTGAACTTGCAACACATTCTGGCCGACACATTGGTGGTGATCCTTGATAACCACTAAGGCAAGTACATATAGCGAAACCATTTTGCGACTTGCATTGACTGTTTGGTCCACACGAAGAAGGATTGCACGGATCTGTATAATCTTCTGTAACAAAAGACATTTTTAAATATAATACATACCCAACATGGGATTAAACAACACTTATAAATATGCAAATTTTTATTCATACCTTCAACCTTAAAGGAGCACAGCTCGTATGGATTGCCATAGTGTTTGTCTGGGCATATGCAATTTGGAATATGATTAATTACATTGCATAATGCATTTATACCACACGTGCCGGGACACGGATCATGACATTTGTTTTGGTAACAGGCCAAATTAGATGGACAGTCGGAATTTATCAAACATTCCGCTTTGCAAGCTTCATATGGATTGCCGAAATAACCAGCGATGCAGGCACAAGCCCCAGCATTATTATGCTCTCTGCATTCAGCGTTCACTCCACATGGAGAAGGTACGCACGGAGTTGGACGTTCCAATATTGTAGGAGCAGATTCAATATTACATGATAAGAATGGATCGCCAGTGTAACCATTCTGACACAAACATATGGGTGTGTGGCTGACCACTCTACATTCAGCGTTCACTCCACATGAACCACGACATGGATCTTGGCACTTTCTGTTTATGCAAGCCATATTCAATGCGCACTCTGTATTGCTTGTACATTCAGGTCGACAGTTTGGCGGCAAACCAATAAATTCTGACAAACATTTGCACTCAGCATTATCTCCATTCTCTATACATTGTGAATTAGGACCACACGGTGATGGTAGGCATGGATTGATCCTTTCCGGTGGTGAAGCAGCTGTAATAATATATAAATAAAATAGCTTATAGATATTTACCATATACACACAGAATACCAGATACAATATAACAGAACAATGTTACTAAAAAATGGCATTTGAATACTTACGAATTAATTGACACGTAGTGAATGGGTCTCCAGAATATCCAGATACACAGGTACATATTGGGTTATGATTGACAACTATACAGTGCGTATAACGCCCGCAAGCCCCTGGGCAAGGGTCGATACATTTTTGATTGGAACAAGCTTGATTTAATTTACAATCAGAGCTAATTGTACATTCGGGGCGACAATTTGGTGGGCTGCCAATGTACCTTTGAATGCACACGCATACGGCATGACCGTTCACTTCCCTGCACTGACTGTTAGGTCCGCAAGGAGATGGTTCACATACACTAACTGGCGCCTCTGTAATATGATTGACGTTTTATATTGATCACCTTCAAACATATTTTTTTTTTTTGGAATATAAATAATTACCTTGTACTGCATTACAATAGTGGAACGGTGACCCTGAAAACCCTTGTGGGCACGAGCACATCGGTATATGGTTAATAGTTTCACATATAGCACCAGTGCCACACGTGCCAATACAGGGATTATTACATTTATTTCTTATACAGGTCTTATCTCTTGCACAATCAGAATTTAGAACACACTCAGGTTTACATCCAATGTAGGGATCTCCGAAATATTCGGGAATGCATGAGCAGACGCCACTGTTACACACGGCATTAGGACCACATGGTGATGGTGAACAAGGATTAACTGGCTCTAGATCTAGAAATTAAAATGTTACTTTAAATATAGGTGTACCACGATAAAATAATTTGGAAAATATAACGCCAATTTTCTATATAAAAAAAGGTGAAAGTATTGTAATATTTACCTAGTTGAACTATTTGACAACTACTAAACGGATCCCCAGTGTAACCCAGTAAACAGGAGCAAATTGGCAAGTGATTGTTTACAATACATTGCGCATTGATGCCACACGCTCCAGGACACGGGTCGGTACATCTGTTGTTGATACATGCCATTACAGCATTACACTCCGAATTGATACTACATTCCGGTCGGCAACGGGGCGGTGAACTTATGTAATTTTGTAGACACGTGCAGCGTGCCTTGCCATTAAACTCTTGGCACTGTGAATTTGGTCCGCAAGGCGACGGTACGCATGGATTAACATAAGTAATTTCTGGTGGTGAAAGCGCTACTGGTGCTAAAAGAAAAAAAATGGCTTAATAAATTCTTATAATTTAAAAAATAAGATTTTCTATTTTTCTACAGTTGGGATTACAGATTTTTTGGACAAAGCATTTTTATTACATACAATTAATTAACTACAGGTGTAAGTTAACATTATATTGAAATTTATATTTTATGATATAGAGGGAAAACGAGAAGGCGAGTGACTTAGTTGAATATGACTGACTACCGCCAACCATGGATGCCTACAGCCTAGGAGTCACAAGTGAGTTGCCGGCCTTTGATGTAACTATTATTATTGATTTCATTTCTTCTTACCTGATACACAATTAGTAAAAGGATCTCCAGTAAAACTTTCTTGACATGAACATATGGGATTATGAGCAATTACTCTACAGTTTGCATTCCTAGCACATTGCCCTTCACAGGGATTAACACATTTTCTATTAAGACAAGCTTTGTTATTAGGGCATTCACTATTGATCGTACATTCTGGTCGACAATTGGGTGGCGAGCCCATAAATTCAGGTTGACAACTGCAAACTGCCTGAGAATTTATTTCTCTGCACTGACTGTTTGGACCACACGGGGAAGGCGTGCAAGGTGCTGGCTTAGATGTATCTGTAAATAATAACAGTAATGTTTTAATAGTATGTAATTTAATAAGGTACATTAATTAACTTAATGTTTTGAATATGTGTGCGAAACCTACCTTCTTGTTTTTCTATGCAGTTGACGTAAGCATTTCCAGTTAACCCAGGTGGACAGTTACATGACGGTAGGTGGTTTACAACTTGGCATATTGCATTTGGTGCGCATACACCTGGACAAGGATCTTTACATTTATTCTGAACGCAAGCCAACATAGGTGGACAATCGCTATTAATAACGCACTCAGGACGACATCCTTCATAAGGGTTACCCACATAAGTATCCAGACATTTACATGCTCCAGTTCCTTTCTTTTCTATACACTCAGAATTAAGTCCACAAGGTGAAGGTTCACATGGTGAGTTATATTCAATTATGGTTTCTAAAAATAAAGTATATTAATTAAATTAGATCTCTACAAATATTATATAGTTGAAATTGTAGTATAAATTAATAGTGATGATACCTTTCACAGGAGCACATGAAATAAGAGGGTCCCCAGTTTGTCCAAATGGGCATGTACAAACTAATGCGTGGCTGATGACTTTGCAGTCTGCATTGTAGCCGCAGCTTCCTGGACATGGGTCCTTGCATTTTTGATTAACACATGCTAAGTTGCTTGAACACTCGGTGTTACTGACACATTCTGGTCGACAATTAGGGGGAGTACCTGTGTAGTCAGACTGACAAACGCAAGATGGCGAGTCTCCGATGATTTTGCAAATTGAATATGGACCACAAGGTGAAGGAGTGCACGGATCGACGGGTGGTAGGGGCGTAGCGACTGAAAAAAATCATAAGTTATTTAATACATGCTAGCTTTTACTCTTCACTGGAAATAAATCTAAAGTTCGATACAAGATATTCTTTAAATATTACCTATTGGAACGCAACGTGCAAATGGGTCTCCTGTGAAATGTGCGGGGCAGGAACATATTGGATTGTGATTAACCACTTCACATTTCGCTCCAAAACCACAAGTGCCAATGCAAGGATTTATACATCTATGATTGTTACAGGCTTCATTAAGTAAACATTCGGCACTGATTGTACATTCTGGTCTACAGGATGGAGGACTACCAATAAACGAAGGCAGACATGAGCAAACAGCTTGATGATTTATTGGTCGGCATTGGCTGTTAGGACCGCAAGGATTTGGATCGCAAGGTTCGACGTACATAACTGAAATTCAAAATTAAATATCATCATAATAAAAAAGTTAAGACAAAATTGTTATTAATTGTAATATAAAATCACCAATAAAACAAACCTTCATATGTATGACATTCGACAAAAGCATTGCCTGTCATTCCTTCAGGGCAGGTGCAAATTGGTATATGATTGTACACGTTACACAAAGCTGTTGATGCACAAGTTCCAGGACACGGGTTCACGCATTTATTTCGAGAGCACACTTTTTCTAACGCACATTCCGTGTTAGATAAACATTCAGGTTTACAGCCTAAATATGGGTCCCCGTGATAATCATTTATGCATGTACAAATTCCATCTCTACAATTAGCGTTAAATCCACACGGTGATGGGTTACAAATATCCACTGGAGTATCATCTAAAAAGTTAGAAATAATATGAAGTTCATTTTAATTGAAGTTGATGATAATGTATGTTTTCTTCTATTTCTTAATATTTTCTTACCTTCAATCAATGGAACTAAAACACATGAAGAGAATGGATCTCCAGTATAGCCTTGACTACACGTACAGGCCGGTACATGTGAAAATACACTACAAACAGCATTTTGTCCACAGCTGCCTGGGCAAGGATCACGGCACTTTTGATTTATGCATGCCTTATCTGATGGACAATCTTGATTTATTGCGCACTCAGGGTGGCAATTAGGTGGAAGTCCTTGATATTCAGGTAAACATGTGCATGATGGAATACCATTAATTTCATTGCAAATTGCATTTGAGCCACAAGGACTAGGTACACATGGATTTCTTACTGCTTCTGGGAGCTGTTGGACTGCTAAAATAATAACAATATTAAATGAAAGCACACACATTAAAAACTATTTTATTAAAAAAGTCACTATGCTTAAGATAAATTGATATTTTTATTTAAAATACTCACCTTGAAGATAACAACGAGTGAAGGGATCGCCGATAAAGCCAGAAATACATGAACATATAGGACTATGATTCACTACTCTGCAATTTGCATTTAGTCCACAATGTCCAGGGCAAGGATCAGAACACCTTTGATTAATACAAGCTTTGTTGGTAGCACATTCAGAACTAACTGTACATTCTGGCCTACAGCCTGGAGGAGAGCCGACAAAATCAGACATACAAGAGCAAACACTTTGACCGTTAACAGCACGGCACATACTATTAGGTCCACAAGGATTTGGACTACAAGGCGTTGTAATTTCAGGAATTGATTCTGAAAGAGATGACGATTTACAATAAAATAAATTCAATATTATAATATTATATCATGAAAATGTACATAGTTAAAAGATAAGCCTTACCTTTCAAGATATCGCATCTTTTATATGGATCGCCAGAGTATCCAACGGGACATGTACAAGTAGGTAGATGATTAACTACCGTACAAATCGCAATTAGTCCACATGTCCCAGGGCATGGGTCTTGACATTTATTGCGGATACAAGACTTGCTTGGCACACAGTCTGTATTAACTGTACATTCAGGTCGACAACCTTCATATGGATTTCCGATATAATAGGGGAGACAAGAACAAGACCCAGCTGAATTAAATTCCTTGCATATTGCGTTTGAACCACATGGTGATGGTTCACAAGGAGAAGTTTTTTCTGGATAAAAATCTTGTTGTTGTTCACAATACGAGTACGGATCCCCTGTTAAGCCATTATCACAAAAACACATTGGAGAGTGACTTATCGTTTTACATTTGGCATTAGCACCGCAGTTCATTGCATTGGTACAAGGGTCTTGGCATTTCTGAGTCAAACAAGCCTGATTAGAAGGACATTCATTGTTGCTAGAGCATTCTGGTCTACAATATGGTGGAGAACCAGAGAAATTTGGTAAACAAGTACATGATGGGATGCCTGATAATTCTTTACATATAGAATTTGGTCCACATGGAGATGGAGTACACGGTGTTATGTCAGTAACAGGCGCTCCTAAAAGAACAAAATGAATATTTTACCAGTGCCCTTAAATGTTAATATAAATATTACAGAGGTAGATCTAAAACAAAGTTAACTTACTATACGGCACACATCTTGTAAATGGATCACCAGTATATTTTGGCGGACATATGCATATGGGGTTGTGTTTTACTACGTTACATTTCGCTTGAACGCCACATGAGCCAATACAAGGATCGATGCATTTCTGATTACTACACGCTCTATTAGCTGGGCAGTCAGAACTAACCACACATTCAGGTCTACATAAAGGCGGGCTGCCTAAATAGCCAAGCACACATGTACATACAGCCTGGCCATTTACTTCCCTACATTGGCTGTTTGGTCCACAAGGTGATGGATCACAAGGATTTGTCACAATGGGTACTGAAAAAAAAAATTTTAGGTTTTAATTCTATGTACGTAATGATAGTTTATGCAATATGCATTCGGAGATGTTAGTTTAAGTTTACAAATTTAGATTTTGTATCATGCAATCTATAAACAAGTAAGTACAAATCTACTAAGAATAAGGCTTTCCTTAGCAAACTACTTTACAAATATTCCACTTATTATTTTGTCCATTTTGCGGAATATTAATTCAGAGATGTGTGCTTTACTTACATAAATAGACAGTAAATAATTGCCGATATTTACTGTCTATTTATGTTGAATATTTTCATTCGTAACTTATTAATAGGTAATTAAAACTTAAGTGAATATTCTGATTGATTACTATTTCAATATGATAATTTTAATTATTCTTTTAAATATTCTATTTATTCTGAAATAACATTGTTCAATTACTTCTTAGACATTTTACGTACCTTGTATACGGTCGCAATTGTAAAATGCGTTTCCAGTCATGCCTTGAGGGCAACTACACATTGGAACATGATTGATAACATCACAAATTGCGTTCATACCGCAAGTACCGAAACAAGGATCAATGCATTTATTTTTTGCACAAGCCTTATCCCGTGGGCAGTCAGAACTAAGTACACATTCAGGTCTACAGCCAATGTATGGATCTCCTTGATGTTCTTCAATACAGGTACACAATCCATCGTTGCAAATAGCATTTGTGCCGCATGGCGATGGGTTACATTTGTCAATGATGTCCGCTTCTATAAGTAAGGTGTAAGGGTAAGTACATAAAACAATTAAATATAGGTATTTAATTCAAATAATTTTACTAGGTGATGTCTTAAATTCAATGTAATGTTTAAGAAATATATTCATACCTGATGGTTTAGGAGTGCAGACAGTAAAAGCATCCCCTATGTAACCATCTGGACATGTACATATAGGGATATGACGTGATGCCGCACATAAAGCCCCAATACCACACGATCCTTGACATGGGTCCCGACACTTTTGTTGAATACATGCTTGTGAAGTGGAGCATTCTGAATTTATTGTACATTCAGGTCTGCAGTTGGGCGGACTTCCAATGTAATTAGGCATACACGTGCAAGAAGGTATATTTCCTGTTTCTTGACAAATCGAGTTTGGTCCACAGGGTGACGGAACGCATGGATTTCTATATGGCTCCATCACTGAGTTTGAAACCGGCGCTAAAAAACAACAATGCTTATCAAAGTCATCAGAAAAATGCCGAAAACAGTCATTTTTCATTAAAAATAGAATAACTCGAAAACTATTGATTGTAGAGAAACAAAACAGGTCTCATTTTATTCCTCTTCAAATTTTCTAAAAATCATATGCATCATGACTCGCTCTCCGATGCGTTGTTCTCGAGTTATTAAATAAAAAAAACGCAATGGAAGCCGAATTACTTTCTCTCTCTCTCGCTCTGCCGGCAGTGAATGCAGAGCGAGAGATAGCGACTCGTCCTATAAGGAACTTCGTTCTAACACTGGATGTAACAATAATCTATAAAAAAAATCAGGAATATTTCACATATACATTTGAACAATTAACTTACTAAGTTAAAAATGGATATGTAACGCACAATTCAAAAGGTGATTTTATTTTTACTTACGTGGTATTGGGTTGCATCTTGTGAACGGATCACCCGTGTATAGGGGTTTGCAGGAACAAATGGGACTGTGATTAATAATTTTGCAATCAGCGTTGATCCCACATGTATCCAGGCACGGGTTTTCACATTTTTGGTTTATACAAGCTTTGTCTCTTGCGCATTCCGCACTGGTCACACACTCAGGGTGGCAACCCGGAGGTACTCCTTTATATTCCGGTAAACAAGAGCATACTGCTTGTTTATTTACTTCTTGACATCGACTATTCGGCCCGCATGGTGAAGGTTGACATACGTGAGTAGATGTGTCCGTAAATTCTGTTAAAAGAAATTGTCATGTAAGTATCTACAACGCGATCACCCTTTTAGCATTAAAACCAAAACACGACATCATAAATTGAAACTCATTATAGAAAAAGTATGCGTAGAATGATAATTAATAATATTATTATATTCTACAATGATTTATTGCATTTCTTGGATTTCCTGGACTACCTGTTCGCAGAAAAAATGAAATGATAAACATACAAATATGTATCACAAAATATGGAAATATTTTATGTACTTGTATAAATGCCAACAATATTGGCTTATCGATTAATTATATTACTAATTAAACATATAAATATTAGAGCAACTTACTTTCAATATTGCAGTATCGGAATGGATCTCCAGTATACCCGCGTTGACAAGAGCACGATGGAGCATGATTTACAACCTGACACATAGCATTTGGCGCGCAAGCTCCGGGACATGGGTCTCGACACTTATTCTGAAGACAAGCTTTGTTTGATGGACAGTCTGTATTTATTAGACACTCAGGTTTACAGCCTTCATAAGGGTTACCAAAGTATTCAGGTAAGCATGTACATGATCCAGCTCCATTGTACTCTTTGCAAATGGCATTAGCACCACAAGGAGATGGTTGACAAGGTGTTGTAAAGTCTTGAACTGTTTCAATGCGATTGCATTCTATGAAAGGATTTCCAGTATATCCAGGCTCACATGAACATGACGGTGAGTGGCTTATTACATGACACTGAGCATTTGTACCACATGAGCCAATACAAGGGTCAACACATTTCTTATTTATACAGGCGAGATGAATTGGGCACTCAGAATTACTAATACATTCCGGTTTGCAATTTGGTGGTGAACCCACATAGCCGTTCATACACGAACATGACGGAGTATCTGATGTTTCTTTGCAAATCGAATTCGGTCCACATGGCGTTGGTTGACAAGGGTTGACATACTCCGGAGTAAATTCTTGGATAATACATCTAATGAATGGATTTCCAGTATATGACGGCGGGCATGAACAAATTGGATTATGATTAATTACTTGACATTTTGCTCCGACACCGCATGATCCTTGACAGGGATTGAGACACTTCATATTGCTGCAGGCTTCATTGGGCAAACAATCTGTACTAACTGTGCACTCCGGTCTGCATGACGGTGGACTACCTTTGTATCCACTTAGACAAGAGCATACTGCTTGATTATTTATTTCCCGACATTGACTATTGGGACCACACGGACTTGGTTGACACGGTTGAGTGTGGACAACTGGAAAAATTGATTGGTTCATTTTGTTACTTCCTACACTTACAGGAATATAAAAATATATGTTTGAAAAACCATTAGATCATAATTACCTTCCAAATGTGAACATTGAATAAATGCGTTACCCGTCATTCTTTCTGGGCATCTACACATTGGAATATGATTAACAACTTCACATATAGCGTTAGGTGCACACACGCCGGCGTTGCAAGGATTTACGCATTTCTTTCGGAAACATGCTTTATCTTGGGAGCAGTCTGAACTGAGCACACATTCAGGACGACATTCGAAATATGGGTCTCCATGATATTCTGGTAAACATGAGCATTCACCGTTATTGCAAACTGCGTTAGCACCACAAGGTGATGGATTACATAAATCCACTTCATCTTGAACTGGTGTCTCTGTAATTTGAGTTTTAAAAGTTAAGAATACGTCATGGTGGTGGTGACCATAGTCTTCAACTTAAATGGAACCGATCACTTGGTACGATCACTCACTGACAAACAGAACTATTACCGTATATAACTTTCAGTAGTATCGAAAGGGGAAAAGAGTATAAAATATGCTTTTTTCTCATTTAATGCTCTATGCATACAGAAAAGTTGGGAGGGTAAAAAAAAGCGAATAATTACTAAAAACTCAGTAACTTACCTTGAAGTTTACACGCTGTAAAGGCATCTCCAATATAATTTTCGATACAAGTGCATATAGGGGTGTTTTTCGTAACCGTGCACTTTGCATTAAGTCCACAGGAACCCGGACATGGATCTTTACACCTTTGGTTGATGCATGCCAAGTTACTCGAGCAGTCGGAATTGATTACGCACTCAGGTCGACAAGCTGGTGGGGCTCCTATGTAATTAATAGAGCAAGTGCAAGAAGGTATGCCTCCAATGTCCCTACATTCACTAAACGGTCCACAAGGTGAAGGCAAACACGGATTTTTCGGTTCTGATTGCACAACGATAGCTGTTACTAGCTGATAGCATCTACTGAATGGATCACCCGTAAATCCATTTTGGCATGAACAAATTGGACTGTGATTGATAACGAGACAATTAGCATTGTGACCACACTGTCCAATGCACGGGTCAACACATTTTAAATTAACACATGCCCTATTTGAAACACATTCAGCACTGACGATGCATTCGGGTTTGCAATTAGGCGGACTACCTCTGTATTCTGGTAAGCAAGTACACACTGACTGATTGTTTATTACTTTGCATACACTATTATAACCACATGGTGAGGGTGAACATGGATTTTTTGGTGCTTCGGTTTCTGAAAAGAATGTCTTAATTAAGTATGTTTTTCTAACAAATTGAAAGAAAAGCAAATAATAAAGGTAGGTAATAATTACTTACGTTGAATAATACTGCAATATTGGGATGGATTACCAGTGTATCCGTTGATGCATGAGCAAATAGGAGCATGATTTACTGTCTGACACTGAGCATTAGTGCCACACGTACCAGGACATGGATCTTGACATTTATTTTGTAGACAAATTTTATTCGAAGGGCAATCGGTGTTAACTGTGCATTCAGGTCGACAACCTTCATAAGGATTTCCGAAATATCCAGGAGAACAAACACAAGAGCCGGCATTATTACGTTCTTTACAAATAGCATTACTGCCGCATGGTGATGGTGAGCAAGGTGTCACTTGTTCTAAGGATGGGACGTCGTGACGTGCATTACAATATAAGAATGGATCACCAATAAATCCTTGCGGACATACACAATTTGGAGTATGACTTACTACCCGACATTGGGCATTGGAACCACAGGCTCCTATGCAAGGATCACGACATTTGTTATTAACACAAGCTAAGTCATTAGCACACTCGCTGTTACTTGTACATTCTGGTCGGCAGTTAGGTGGAGATCCTGTAAACTCTGGCATACACGTACATGATGGTGAATCATTTATAGCTTGACAAACTGCATTAGGTCCACAAGGTGATGGTTGACATGGACTTATTTGTTGGGGAATTTCTTGTGCTAAAAAAGTATTTATTATATATAAACATTTATTTAAAAAAATGCATGTGTTTGCGAATATATATACTTACGTTTAGGTACACATCTTGTAAACGGATCACCAGTGTATTCATTAGGGCATGAACATATCGGATTATGGTTAACAACTTGACAATTAGCCCTTATTCCACACGCTCCAGTGCAGGGGTCGATACATTTGTAATTATTGCAAGCTTTATTTAGAGAACATTCAGCACTAGTAGTACATTCTGCTCTACAAGTTGGAGGATTACCAGAATAACCAGGAATGCAAGAGCACACGGCTACATTGTTCATCTCTCGACATTGACTGTTTGGTCCACAGGGACTTGGATTACATGGGTTTGTCGGTAATGAAGCTGAAACAGATATGATACATGATTACCTTCTTAAAAATTACACGTTGTAATGTAGATTTAAGTAAATTAAAAAATATATTTATATAGATACCTTGAAGTACATTACACGAAATGAAAGAATTCCCCGTATATCCCGCAGGACAACTACACATTGGTACATGGTTAAATACCTCGCAGACTGCATTCGTCCCACAAGTATCTGGACACGGATTGACACATTTTTTACGCATACATATCTGGTTTCTCTCACAATCCGAACTTACTGTGCATTCAGGTCGACACCCAACGTAGGGGTCACCATGATATTCGGGCAAACATGTACACTCTCCATTGTCACATTTTGTATTAGAGCCACAAGGTGACGGGTTACACAAATCTAATGGTATTGGCGCTGCAATAGAAATGAACATACAAATTGGCAAATAGTTCCAAATGTTTTTAACAGTGTTTTTAAACAATAGATTTATACGAACTTTGCAAGGGTTGTACTGTGCAAGCGGTGAATGGATCTCCCTTATAACCGTCTAAACAGGTACAAATGGCCATGTGTTTGAGGACTGAACATCGAGCATTTTGTCCACATGAGCCAAGACAAGGATCTTTACACTTCTCGTTGATACATGCCAATGAACTAATACAGTCTTCGTTAGTAACACATTCAGGACGGCACCTTGGAGGGCTACCAATATAACCCGGAGCACAAGAACATGAAGGTTGACCACCAAAATTACGGCAAGTTGCAAATGCGCCACAGGGGGATAGTAAACAAGGATCTCTTGTTTCATCGAAAACTGGTTGAGGTACTGAAAGGCAAAAATATATTGATAACGTCTAATTTTTTATTATGATCAGTATAGTAATAACTTTTTTCTTATAAAACTTACTTGGTTTAAGATAGCATCTTGTAAAGGGATCACCTGTGAAACCAGATCCGCAACTGCAGATAGGATTATGATTAAACACACGACACTCAGCCATTTTTCCACAAGGACCTGGGCACGGGTTCATACATTTTTGATTTACACAAGCCTTATCTGACGTACAATCGGAGCTCAAAACACATTCCGGTCTACAATTTGGTGGCTCACCAAAGTAATTTGGTAAACAGCTACATGTTGCTTGTTTACTTATTTCGCGACACTGGCTATTTAGTCCACATGGGTTTGGACGGCATACATCTATAGTGACTGGATCATGTGCTAAAATAAATGCAATTATCTGTAAAAACCAGTGTATGACAAATACGATAACATGTTATTTGTATCTAATTACTTACCAGGCATAGGATTACATCGACGGAATGGGTCGCCTGTATAACCTATAACACAAGTACAAGTCGGAGAATGGTTGACTGTGGCACATTCCGCATTTACCCCACATGTTCCTGGACATGGATCTTGACATTTGTTTCCTATGCAGGCTCTATTTCCTGGACAGTCTGAACTAGATACACATTCAGGTCGACAGCCTTCATATGGATTGCCAAAATATCCCTCATTACAAACGCAAGATCCTGCTTTATTTTGTTGTCTACACACAGCATTTGGACCACAAGGTGATGGCGAACATGGAGTTAATAATTCATTTAAGGGTTGAAGTGTACACTGTGTGAAAGGATCTCCGTAATAGCCTTGTGGACAAACACACATTGCTGTGTGACTAACAACGCGACATTCGGCATTTGCCCCACAAGCTTGCAGACACGGGTCTTTGCATTTCTGATTCACACAGGCTAAATGTTGTGAACATTCACTGTTGCTTATACACTCGGGTTTACAGTAAGGAGGTTGACCTTGGTATTCAGGTAAGCACGAACATGATGGAGTACCATTTATGTCTTTGCAAATAGAATTCGGCCCACACGGTGACGGTTGACATGGATTAATTTCCAACGGTGGCGAATCTAAAATAATACAAAATAGAATATTTAGCATCTAGCCGAAGAACCAATAAAGATAGTCATAAATTAAAATGAGACTTACTTGAAACAAAAGAACATGCCACGAATGGATCACCAGAATATGTTGGAGGGCAAGCACATATGGGATTGTGATTGACCACTTCACATGTTGCTCTTAAACCACATGTGCCAATACAAGGGTTTACACATTTTTGATTCATACAAGCTTGATTCTGTGGACATTCCGAACTGCCTACACATTCAGGTCTACAAGCAGGTGGTATACCCAAGTACGTAGGTAAACACGAACACACAGCTTGGTCGTTGATTTCTCGACATTGACTGTTAGGGCCACAAACTGCTGTACTGCATGGGTTCTGCTCTGCTGCAGCTGTTTATAAAAAATCAAGATGTCATAATTGAGTTTTAAAGAAATTTATATAAAAAAAAAGTTTTCATACCTCTTATGGGATTGCATAAAACAAAAGCATTGCCCGTAAATCCTGTGATGCAACTGCACATTGGGATGTGATTAACCACTTGACAAACGGCATTTTGTCCGCATGCTCCTACGCATGGGTCGACGCATTTTCTTTGAACGCAAGCCTTAGAATGATCACAATCCGTGCTATACACACATTCTGGTCTACAGTTAAAGTACGGATCACCGTGGTACTCCGGTAAACAATGACATTGTCCATTTATGCATTCAGCGTTTGAACCACAACGTATATTAGTACATTCATCAATCACTGCCGGTTCCACTGTAATACAGAAATTGTTTTGATTTTTTTTTATTACTACATGCATGTAACTAAACATTTTAAATGCCCGACTGCATTAAAAGTACTAGATTAGAACTAAGAGTTTTATGTTTGTACCTTGTAATGGTTTCATTCTACAGCTTGTGAACGGATCTCCAATATATCCTTCCATACATGTACATATTGCGATATGATTATGAACGCTACAGATGGCAGATATGCCGCATGATCCCGGACACGGATCTTGGCATTTAGAGTTGATACACGCTCTGTCACTAAGACATTCTGAATGTATTGTACATTCTGGTCTACAATTTGGCGGGCTGCCAATGAACGTTAGCAGACATGAGCAGGAGGGGGTGTTACCAATGTCCCGACATTCCGAGTTCGGACCGCAAGGTGACGGAATGCACGGGTTTCTTGTGTCAAGAACAGGATCACCTTAAATTCAAAATCATTCATGTTTAAGACAATGCAATAATTAAAAAGTATATAGCACATAAATAATTGTTAAACTTACTTCTGATAATGGTACACCTTGTGAATGGATCACCCGTAAAGGCAACTTTACAGGAGCATATAGGACTGTGATTTATTACTTTACAGTTTGTATTTACACCACAAGGCCCAGGACAAGGATTAGTACATTTCTGTTGGATGCAAGCTTTGTCATGAGAACACTCGGAGCTGACTATGCATTCTGGGCGACAATTAGGTGGTGATCCGATGTATTCTGGTAGGCATGAGCATACAGCCTGATTGTTTGAAGACCTACATTGACTGTTCGGACCACATGGTGATGGATAACATACGTCTATTGGGATTGATGGTATGGTAGATTCTAAAAATGTAAAATAAATTAATGAAATTTATTGAATAAGTATCTCAGAATAGAAACAATATTAATTAGTCTATATATTTACCTTGATAAACACAATATCTAAATGGATCTCCGGTGTAACCGATAATACAAGTACATAAGGTGGCATGGTTTACAACTTGACAGTCAGCATTAGTGCCACAGCTGCCTGGGCAGGGGTCACTGCACTTATTATTGATACATGCTCTATTCGACGGACAATCAGTATTAACAATACATTCTGGACGGCAGCCATCGTACGGGTTTCCTGTGTACCCGTCAATGCAAGAACAGGACCCTGCATTATTTCTTTCTTTACATAGAGCATTAGACCCACATGGTGAAGGTGAACAGGGTGTCGAAATAATTTCAGTGTGAAGTATTTCTTCGACACAGGAGAAAAAGGGATCTCCAGTAAATCCGTAAGGGCATAGACAAATAGGGGAGTGACTAACAACTCTACATTCTGCATTAGCAGCACAAGATCCTTCACATGGATTTGTACATTTATTTTTGATACATGACAAATGCACAGAACACTCTTCGTTGTTTGAACACTCTGGTCTGCAGTGTGGTGCTTGGCCATGATAGCCTGCTAAGCATGTGCAAGACGGTGCTTCGCTCACAACTCGGCAAAGGGAGTTCGGTCCACATGGCGACGGTGTGCACGGATCCACAGTTTCTGGCAAACGTTCAGCTATAAAAGACATAATTATTATTACCTCCACCAATATCATGTAAAATAACATGGCTTTGAGACTTGTTTAGTTATGTGATACTTACGAAGTTTAATACACCGTGAGAATGGATCTCCTGTGTACAGCAGCGGGCATGTGCAGATTGGATTGTGGTTTACCACCTTACATTCTGCATTTACACCACAGGAACCTATGCAGGGATTGACACAGTGTTGATTGCTACAAGCTTGATTTAATGGGCACTCTGCGCTTATCGTACACTCTGGGCGGCATGAAGGGGGAGCTCCTATGTAGTTAGGAGCGCATGAGCACACAGCCTGTCCATTTACTTCTCTGCACTGACTATTGGAACCACATGGTGATGGGTGACATGGATTTCTTATAACTGATTCTGAAAGAAATAGGATGGACATTTGCATTTTCAGAAAAAAACTATATTTTTTTATCATAATAGGTCTTTACCTATGAAATTGCCGTTTTGTATGCAATAAGTGAAAGTACTTATTTTTTAAAACTTTTTTATTTCTGTTATTCGAAGTAATCACCCATGCAATCGACGCATCTTTGCCAACGCATTGGCAGTTTATTGATGCCCTTCTTGTAAAAATCAGCTGGACGGGAGACAACAAACTCTTCAAAGGCATTTTGTACTGCTTCTCGGGAATTGAATTTTTTACCCACTAAAAAGTTGTCTAAATTTTGGAAAAAGTAATAGTCGGTAGGTGTAAGGTCTGGTGAGTACCAAGCAACCAGCTTTGGTCCATCGGTCGTCCCCACTGCTCCTTCACGACAACGCGCGACCCCATACTGCGCAACAGACAGTCTCCAAGCTGCAAGAGCTGGGGTTGGAAGCTCTGCCTCATCCGCCATACTCACCAGACCTTGCACCTACCGACTATTACTTTTTCCAAAATTTATACAACTTTTTAGTGGGTAAAAAATTCAATGCCCGAGAGGCAGTACAAAATGCCTTTGAAGAGTTTGTTGCCTCCCGTCCAGCAGATTTTTACAAGAAGGGCATCAATAAACTGCCAATGCGTTGGCAAAGATGCGTCGATTGCATGGGTGATTAAATAAGAATAACAGAAATAAAAAAAATAAGTACTTTCACTTATTGCATACAAAACGGCAATTTCATAGGTAAAGACCTATTATAATAAATCAAAACGGTTTTATTTGAGTACTTGTTTCAAATAAACTCTTACCTACGACAGGACGACATTCAAGAAACGCGTTTCCAGTGGTGCGCGGCGGGCAGCTACACATGGGAATATGGTTCACTACATTGCACGTAGCTGTAGCTGCACAAGTGCCAGGACAAGGGTCTTTGCATTTATTACCTATACAAGCTTTGTCACGGTTACATTCTGAACTTTGCACACATTCAGGACGACAACCCGAGTATGGGTCACCTTCAAACTCGGGCAGACAACTACATTTTCCATCAAAACATTCTGCATTAGGTCCGCAGGGTGAAGGATTGCATAAGTCATCGTTTACTGTAATTAAAAAAATATTGTTTTGTAGAAAATCAACAATTAATTTGTGATTAATGTCAATAATAGACTCATTGGCTTTTTTAACAACACACAGAATGCTCATCAAGAACAGAATTTAAATAGAATTAATTTATTTTTATTAAACCACTGAGATTTAAACATTATCAACACTAAAGGTAGCATGTAAATATTTAATGTGCAAATATTCAGCAGACATCATCATACCTTTTGGTGGCATTGGAGTACATTGACTAAATGCATTGCCTGTAAATCCATCTATACAAGAACATATTGAAATATGTTTGATCACTTGACAATTTGCATTTATTCCACAAGAACCTGGACACGGGTCTCTGCATTTTTGATTTATACAAGCCAAATTACTTCCACAATCTTCGTTTATCGTACATTCAGGTCTGCAATTAGGAGGACTGCCTTCAAAGTTTTGTAAACATGAACACGATGGAATGCCATTCAAATTTTGACATTGCGAATTAGGTCCACAGGGCGAAGGAATGCAAGGGTCTCTGTCCGGCATAACTTGTACTTCGGGAACTAAAAATATAATTTAAAATTATTAAAATTAATGGATTACACTATAGAAAGAATTTATTATCAAATGCCTCAACATACCTGATATTACGTTATAACAACTAGAAAAAGGGTCGCCTGTATATTTGTTCATGCATGTGCATATTGGGCTATGATTAATTACTCTGCAATCTGTATTTCGTCCACATGGTCCAGGACATGGCGAGATACACTTTTGATTTTTACAAATTTTATCTACTGGGCATTCAGCGCTTACTACACATTCAGGTCTGCAATTTGGTGGGAAACCTTGGTATTCAGGTAAGCAGGAGCATGCACTTTGTCCATTTGATATCCGACACTGGCTGTTTGGACCACAAGGAGATGGTTGGCATGGATTTATAGGAATGTCTTCAATAGCTGTAAGTAAACTATAGTTATATTTCTAAAGACAGGATATATTAATCACTCAAACAAAAGGAATACCTACGTTTCAAAATACACTGAGTGTATGGGTCACCAACGTATCCATGTCGACATGTACACGATGGTGAATGATTAACAACTTGACATTCAGCATTTGCGGCACATGTGCCTAAGCAAGGATCAATACATTTATTTCTGGTACATGCTCTAGTACTAGGGCAGTCGGAGTTTACTAAACATTCTGGGTGGCAACCTTCATAAGGATTACCAAAGTATCCAGTAATGCAAATGCATGCACCAGCTCCATCCTGTTCCCTGCACAAAGCATTTGATCCACAAGGTGAAGGTGTGCATGGTGAAATTACTTCCATGGATATCAAAGACGTAATTGAACATTGGATAGCAGCGTCCCCTGAATAGCCTTCAGGACAAATACAAATAGGTGTGTGACTGACCACACGACATTCTGCATTTAAACCGCAAGCTTGAACACATGGATTTTGACACTTTCTGTTAATACAGGCCATTTGTGGAGGGCATTCACTATTTGTAACACACTCTGGGCGGCAGTTTGGCGGTGCTCCTATATATTCAGGCATACATTGACACGATGGAATATCTCCACCAGTTTGTTGACATATAGAATTAGGCCCACACGGTGATGGTTGACAGGGACTAACAGGTACTGGAGGTGTTGCGACAGCTAAAATAATAATAAAACAATCTGAGATAAAATAGGACTGAATACAATGTTATTTACAGAAATGTAACATACTTGTAATAGTGCATCTTGTAAATGGGTCTCCAGTCATGGCTAATGGACATGTACATATCGGATTATGGTTGACCACTTGGCATAAAGCTGCAACACCACACGTTCCTTGACATGGATTAATACATTTCTGGTTACTACAAGCTTTATCAAGGGGGCAATCAGAACTAGCCACGCATTCTGGCCGACAAGAAGGCGGTGCTCCACGGAATCCAAGTAAGCATGAACAGACTGCCTGATTGTTAAACTGTCTGCATTGACTGTGAGGGCCACAAGGACTTGGTTGACAAGGATTAGATGGAATAAATTCTGTAACAGAAAATTATTATATTAAGATTATCTTTATCTTTATCTTTTAAAAAAGACAACTCCCGCATTAGGAATAAATCCTGTGTCGCGGGGGACTTTACAAACATACATGAAACGGACACAAAGAACACTCAGACTCAGAACAACAATTTGTGGATCACACAAAGTGTCGTCCCATGTGGGGTTTGAACCCACAACACTCGGCGTAGTAGGAAGCGGCGTGGCGACCGCTTAAACCACTACGCCATCCGTGCATCCTACACTACGCCATCTGTTCACATTACACATGGATAAATTCACATACATATCTTTAATTTATTTATTACTAGATACTTTTTAATAGATTAATCTATTAAAAAGTATTTCTTTAGTGCTTAAAGGGCAAACAAAAACACGCAGCTCACCTTTGATAGGACTACATTGTATAAATGCATTACCGGTAGTTCTCATCGGACAAGTGCAAATAGCCATATGATTTACAACCTCACAATTAGCATTTATTCCACAAGTGTTTAAGCAGGGATCAACACAGCGATTTTTAACACACGCTTTATTTCTAGGACATTCTGAACTAATTGTACACTCTGGGCGACATTCAAAGTATGGGTCACCACTGTATTCAGGTAAACAAGTGCAAATTCCATCATTACAATTGGCATTCGGACCGCATGGTGACGGATTGCAAAGATCTGTCACAACCGGTTCTGAAAATAGAAATATAACGCATCACTTTATATCGCGGAGAAAAGACAGCTTCAATAAAATATATTTATTAAGTAGTTACCTATATTTATTGGTTTCAAGTTACAACTTTGGAATGGATCGCCGGTGTAGCCATCAAAACAAGTACATATAGATAAATGGTTTTGAACTCTGCAATTAGCATTAATCCCACATAATCCTGGACACGGGTCCACGCATTTTTCATTGATACAGGCTAACTCGCTAGAGCAGTCGGTATTGAGAGTACACTCAGGTCGACAATTGGGTGGGTTACCCATATACTGTGGCATGCAAGAACATGAAGGTGATCCTCCTATATCCCGGCATTGAGAGAATGGACCGCACGGAGACGGAAAACAAGGATTAGTATGTACTGCGACAACATCTGCAACTGGAAACATTTCGATTAATAGTAATAATTATTTTTTGATAGGTTAGTATACAAAACAGATATATAAAGATAAACATACCTGGGGTTCTAAAACATTTGCTGAACGGATCTCCAGTATGTTGTGGTCGACAAGAGCAAATAGGACTATGATTTATAACTTTACATTCTGTATTCTTTCCACAAACACCTTCACAAGGGTTTCTGCATTTTTGTTTTATACAAGCTTGTTGTTGGTTACATTCAGAACTGATAAGACATTCAGGTTTACAATTTGGTGGTATTCCTAAATACTCAAGTTGACATGTACAAACAGCTTGGCCATTTGTAACTTTGCAAACGCTATTAGGACCACATGGTGATGGCAGGCAAGGATTTTTTTGTATAACTGGTACATCTACAACTTTGTCTTCGTAACAGTTTTGATAAGGACTCCCAGTTAAACCAGGCAAACATTGACATGTGGGAGTATGATTTATAACGTTACAAATGGCATTACGTCCACAGATATTATTACATGGATTTTTACACTTATTTTGAATACATGCTAAGTTTGTTGCACAGTCTGAATTAACGACGCATTCGGGACGACATCCTTCGTAAGGATTCCCGATGTGATCAGGCAAACAAACGCAGGCCCCAGCATTTCTTTGCTCGTTGCATACAGCGTTTGGTCCACATGGTGATGGTGAACAAGGTGTGAGAGGAACGTCCACGATTTGACAACTGATGAAGGCATCTCCTGTGTAACCTGGTGGACAAAGGCATCGAGGAGTGTGGCTCACTACCATGCATTCTGCTCCTGTGCCGCAGGAGCCAGGGCACGGGTCTTTGCACTTTAGATTTATACAGGCCATTTCATTAGGACATTCGGAATTAGATATACATTCTGGTCGACAATTTGGAGGGTGTCCGAGATAGTCAAGTAAACATGCACACGACGGTGATTCATCTACTTCTCTGCATACCGAGTTTGGACCGCATGGCGAAGGTTCACAGTGGTTAATATAGGGGGGCGGTTGTACATCTGCAACAAAATAATATTTTATATTTTGTTACGTGCAATGTGATGTTAATAATGTACTTCAAAGTGTATCAAAAACATTGTTAATAATAACCTTCAATAACACATCTACTAAACGGATCTCCTGTATAACCTGATGAGCACGAACATATTGGATTATGGTTTATAACTTGACAAGTAGCTGCCGTTCCGCAGTTTCCTTGGCATGGATCTATACAGCGTTGATTGGAGCAAGCACGGTTTAGAGCACACTCTGCACTAGATATACATTCAGGTCTACATGTTGGTGGTGCTCCTAAGTAGCCAATAAGACATGAACATATGGCTTGGCCATTGACTTCACGGCATTGGCTATTTGGTCCACAGGGTGTAGGGTTACAAGGATTGACAGCTTCAGTAATGCTGACTGGCCGACATTCCAAGAATGCATTCCCTGAATATCCATCTGGACATGTACATATCGGGATATGATTAAAAACATTACAAATAGCTTGTCTGCCACAAGTATTTACACATGGGTCGATACATTTAAGTCTAACACAAGCTTTATATTGTGGGCAATCGGTGCTCATTAAACATTCCGGGCGACAGCCTAGATAAGGATCACCTTGATATTCAGGTAAACATGTGCATACGCCATCGTTGCATACCGTGTTAGCACCGCATGGGGATGGGTTACACAAATCGGTTTCAACAACTGTAACAGGAAAAAAAATATTGTATTAGATATAAATATTACTAATATTCCGAGTACGCTAGAATAAAAACTCAAATTGTAGATGTTATTTTACAAATATCAATATAGACTTACAGGCTCACTATTTAAAAATATAAGTACGTTTATTTAGAAAATGGGGGCCCGGCTGACGATAATAAGCTGGCTCTCTATTATGTATACGTTAGTGTATAAAATATGTATGTAACTTACTGTCATTTTCAGGCACCTGTATGCAATGTGAGAATGGATCGCCCGTTAATTGTTCAGTACAGCTACATTGCGCTACGTGGTTAAAAACTGTACATTGTGCGTTTATACCACATGCCCCCGGACATGGATCTCGACATTTCTCATTCATACATGCTTGATTACTGGGACATTCCGAATTTATTGTACACTCGGGTCTACAGTTCGGTGGGCTTCCAATATAGTGCGGTTTACAAGCGCATGACGGTGCATTTCCAATATTGCGGCATTCTGCGTATAGTCCACAAGGTGATGACAAACAAGGATCTTGAAGTGGTGTATTTGATGGAGGTTGTGAAACTGCAAACAAAAGAATTTTAAAACCAAGTTAAATATATTTAACATAAAAATACTAAATGTAAACGAAGAAAAAATACTTACTTTTTATAGGATAACATCTCGTGAATGGATTGCCGGTAAGGCCTTGTTTGCAGACACATATTGGACTGTGATTTATAACGTTGCAATTAGCATTTTCTCCGCATGTGCCTAAACAGGGGTTTGAGCATTTTTGATTGCTGCAAGCTAAATGTGGTGGACACTCTGAGCTCACGACACATTCAGGGCGACAGTTTGGCGGAGCACCAACGAAATTTGGTAAACAGGAGCATACAGCTTGGTGGTTAACTTCTTTACATTGGCTATTAGCTCCACACGGTGCTGGGTTACAAGGATTTGTTTCTACAGCTATAGCTACAAACACATAAATTTGATTAATTTCAATATTTGAAATATACGTATATACTTATTTAAATAAACAAATAAATTAATTACGTTGTTGCATGATGGAGCAGTAGCTGAACGGGTTTCCGGTATAACCTTGCTGACATGTACAAGTTGGCATGTGATTATTGACTTGACAAAAAGCATTTGCGCTGCAGGTACCCGGGCAGGGATCAATACACTTCATTCTTGAACAAGCTCTATTAAGAGGACAATCGGAGTTCACTACACATTCAGGTCGACATCCTTCGTATGGATTACCCGAATATCCATCTACACATTGACAAGATCCTACACCTCTTTGTTCTTTACAGTTTGCATTAGATCCACATGGATTTGGATTGCAAGGTGTTAAAACTTCAGTCTGTTCAATGACTGGTATGACACTACAGTATGAAAATGGATCGCCAGTGTATCCTGATTGACATAAACACATGGGTGCATGGCTAACCACCCTACATTCCGTATTAGAGCCACATGCACCTATACAGGGATCTACACATTTCTGATTGAGACAGGCCAAATTATTATCACATTCACTATTGCTTATGCATTCTGGTCGACAGTTAGGAGGTGTTCCTTTGTAACTTGGTAGACATGCACAAATTGGATTATCGCCGCTTACTTTACATATAGAGTGTGGTCCGCAAGGAGATGGTTCGCAAGGATTAACTTGGGCCTCGATTAAAACTGTAATCAATAAATATATTTAGAAATAAACAGCTGCTAGAAAATATAGCTGAAGAAAATTTTAACTAGGAATTTGAATTTACCTATTATTGTACATCTCACAAACGGATCGCCTGTGAACGATGGTGGGCAAGTACAAATCGGATTATGATTTATCACATCGCATACAGCAGCTGTACCACAAGCTCCTAGACAAGGATTTATACATCTCTGATTGTTGCATGCTTCTTTTAATGGGCATTCAAGGCTGACAGCGCATTCTGGTCTGCAAGTTGGTGGACTTCCTCTAAAGCCAGGCACACAAGAACAAACAGCTTGTCCATTTGATTGTTGACAACGACTATTCGGTCCACAGGGTGATGGATTACATGGATTAGACACTGACACTAAAATATCAAAAAGGCGAAAAATTTTAAATTTTATACATACACTAAAATTAATAGACAATACATTAAAGAGAGAGCTAAATTTTTATTTACCTGATGAAGGTCTGCATTCTATGAAAGCATTTCCACTCATTCTTTTAGGACACGAGCACATTGGAATATGATTCATTACATTACAAATGGCATTAAGTCCACAAGTGCCAATGCAGGGGTTAACACATTTATTGCGTAAACAGCCTTTATCTAACGGACAATCGGTATTATATACACATTCTGGTCGACAGCCAAGATTAGGATCACCGTGGTAGCCAATGTTACACGAACATAACCCATCATTGCATACAGCATTTGGGCCACATGGACTTGGATTGCATAAATCAAAGGCTATGGGAGTCTCATCTAAAAATAAAATAAATTATTGTTATAATTCTAGCTACTGATCACAACTTTTTAAATTGAAATTCATCTAGACGGTATCATATGTATTTATAAAAAACTACGCTTTAAATACGCCATAAATATTATTCATTATATTTCGGACATCTGACACACAACGGAATCTAGTTTCAAACTAAGCAGGGCTTGTACTATGAAAACTAGATTGACTGATAGAATACTCTAATTTTTTTTTTAAATACATACATATTTTACATAGAAAACACCCAAACTCCGAAACAAATATTTGCAGATCATACAAACAATTGGTCCGACCTGGGAATTAAATCCGATACCTCAGTTAAAGCAGCCGCATACGCACCACTGCACCACCGAGGCAGTGTTATTATGCTTATTTTATTAGGATGCATACTTACTTATATTGTAAAAACTTAAAAAAATAAATATAGGCACTTACCGCGTATAGGGAGAGGCCTGCATTCATTAAAAGGATCGCCAGTGAACCCTTCCGGACACAAACATACGGGAATATGATTGTTGACAAAGCAACTAGCGTATAAACCGCAGGAGCCTTCACATGGATTTCGACATTTTTCAGATTCACAAGCTCGATCGCTTGAGCAGTCCGTATGGACAACACATTCGGGCTTGCAAAATGGTGGTGAACCCATGTAAGAAGGCAAACATGAACAAGATGGTATACCATTATTGTTTCGACATTCTCCATAGAGACCACATGGAGAAGGTATACAAGGATCTGATGGTGCAGCCACACTAGGAGAGGTTTCTGAAAAGGCCGTAATAATGGGCTTTTTATATATCATTTAGGTATAAAATGGATAACGCTAAGCTAATAAGTATATACATAAAAATACTTAATTGCGGGCAGTGTAGTAGTATTTTTTTTTGCTTAAATCCTTTATGTGATAAATAAGATAAAGACGGCATCCTATTTTAATGCATTTATATGATTTTTAATTATATTATAACAACTAAGGTCCAAATAATATGTGGAACCAATCAAAAATAATTCTACGTCCTGCATTTTTAATAATTGGAACACCAAACAAAATTTAACTTACGTAACACTAGTGAGCACACAGTGAATGGATTTCCAGAGTAGCCCAACCGACACGAGCATACAGGACTGTGGTTAATCACCTTGCATTCTGTATTTTGTCCACATGGTTTAGGGCAAGGATTTACGCATCGTTGGTTTACACAAGCTCGATTTTGCTTGCACTCCGAGTTAACCATACATTCTGGCCTACAATTAGGCGGTGATCCCATGTAATTTGGGTGACATGAACATACAGGTTGATTATTTATCTCTCTGCATATTGCGTTAACACCACACGGAGAAGGGTTGCAAACATTAACAATTGCTACATCTTTTTCTGAAAACATAATATGGCACTAAGAGCTATTGCTAATATAATTTAATAAATTCGACAATAATATTAAAACTTACCTCGTATGACTTGACATATGGATAGTGGATTTCCACTGTAACCTTGTTTGCAGTTACAGGTTGGTTTGTGATTTGTCACAAAGCAATCCGCATTATATCCACATACTCCTGGACATGGATCTACGCATTTATTTCTACTGCAAGCCAGTAATAACGGACAATCCGAATCCGCTAAACATTCAGGCCTACAATTTTGGTATGGGTCACCAGTATAATCAGGCAAACAAGAGCATGATCCCGCATTCCCTTGTACTTTACATTCAGCATTAGCTCCACAAGGAGATGGATCACATGGGTTTAAGTATTCAACCTTTGGTGGAGCTGAAATATTATTCAAATAAAATAAATTCACTTACCGATGAGTATTTCAGTCACCGTAGAAGCACTTCCTTGTTCCGAAGCGTTAGTTGAAGCTTGGTGGGGCTGGCGACGTTTAGTGACCTCCTTTATCCGTTGAGATCATCATTATCTCAAGCAGCGCCGTCCAAAAGCGGCCGTCATGGTGGACGGCCTAAGCTTTACTGTAAGTGCTATGTTATCTCCGCGTGCTCCGTTGTCAAGCAAAGGCATTAATTTCACATTAACAGTTATTTAAAAAAGTTATCCCTTCTGAAAGCTTCGATTACATCTAGTTTTCCTCGTATCCGAACCTACTGACCTGATCCGAGGCTTATGTTTAAAGCATTGACCTAGGTTTTGTACTGACGCAATCACCTTTAAACTATACAGCGGGCATGGTCACTATACAATTTCAAAAGTAAAGGCATCCGTACAACCCTATGTACATTAGTAAACCGTGTAAGGCATGACCACTATGTATAACTCCTTTATGATAAGCTCTTTCTTTAAAGCATGAAAAAATTATCACGCTTTGCGAAGCAGAGTGTTATTGCGTTTAATAAACGTGGATACATCAGTTGTTCTAAAATATTAATATACAATTCCGTTTACCTTAATCTTAAGAGATATTTTAAGTACAAAATACATTTTAAAGCACAAATAAAGTACCTACCTAAATGTCAATATATTTACCATTACTTTTGAATTTATTAATTTATCATTACCATCAAGTATCAAAAGTTCTGCAAAATACTTTCAAGGAGATGTCAATAATAATATGTTTAAATGGTACGTTACCTTTTGGCATAGAACATCCCTGGAAAGGATCACCTTCGAGGCCAGATTCACACGAGCAAATAGCACGATGATCGACAACAGAACATGTCGCTCGCGCTCCACATGCCTGATCACATGGATCTTTACATTTTTGACCCATACAAGCTAAAGTAGCCGGACATTCTGCACTTATGGTACATTCTGGACGACAATTTGGAGGAGCTCCAATGAAACCAGGCTGACAACTACATGCTGGTGTTTCTCCCGAATTTACACAGATGGCATTTGGCCCACATGGAGATGGTTGGCAAGGGTCCGTTGTGGTATCAGGTGGAGGCGCTGTAAATGTATAGATAATCATATAAACTATAGCTCAGTAAATAAAAATTAACTTATACTAATAGACCTTTTATTGTTAGCTATAGCCAATATTATATTAGCTCTTTTTAGATGTTTTATGTTTCAATTTAAATCCTCAGATATAAAACGAATGGTACATCAGAATCGTGTCAATTCATGATTAAAACCCGGATGGAAAAGTTGAATAGTTATGAAAAAGTTAGAAGTTCAGTTAACTATAAAAATATTGACCTGGTTTTGGATAGCAGTAGTTAAACGGATCGCCAGTGAAGTCTTCATTACAAGTGCATATGGGTGAGTGAGCAATAACTTGGCAGCGAGCACCGCGTCCACAAGCCCCTTCACAAGGGTCGCGGCACCGGCGATTAATGCAAGCCAACTGCAGCTTGCACTCGGCGCTTACCAGACATTCTGGTCGGCAAGAGGGAGGAGCACCAATATGCCCCGCTTTGCAAGAGCATGCCGCAGCACCGTTAGCACTGACAGTACATTCGCTATATGGCCCACATACAGACGGAGAGCACGGCGATACCAGTACTAAAAAATATTTGGTTTTGCAATAAAAATAATGTAAGCCTTGAGCCTGAATAAATGATTATAAAAAGTGATATAAGTTTTTTACCTTTAGGAATTTCATTGCAGAGATTAAAAGGATCACCTGAAGTATGTGGTGGACAAGTACACGATGGTATGTGATTGTTAACTGTACACATTGCATTAGTCCCACAGGCACCTGGACATGGATCGACGCATTTACCTCTCTGACAGGTACGAGTTGGAGAACATTCCCCATTTGTACTGCATTCCAGTCGACATCCAGTATAAGGATCTCCAAAATATCCAGGAGCACAAGAACATGCACCAGCGTCACATAATGTATTACTACCACATGGAGATGGATTACAGGGATCAGCAGAAGGAGTTTGAGTCACTGTAAGGGAAATAGGTTCATTATCATGATAAGCTTAATGTAAATTATTTGATGAACACTTAATAATGTTTTATTACATGTAAATAATACAGGAAACTGTACGTACCTATAATTTCCGAACATTGAATGAATGGATCACCAGAGTAACCAACTGGACAAACACAAATTGGTATGTGATCATGTACTCGACATTCAGCTCTAAATCCACATGAACCTTCACAAGGATTTCTGCATTTTTCTGCAATGCATGCTTGATGTGACGGACAGTCCGTGCTTACAAGACATTCTGGATGGCAATTAGGGGGAGAGCCCATATATCCTTGTATGCATGAGCAGGATGGACTGTCATTGATAGCTCGACATTCACTAAAAAGTCCGCAAGGATTAGGTTGACATGGGTGTGCATGTTTATCCTCTGGTGGAGAAGCAACTTTTTCAATACATCTTTTGAATGGATCACCAGTTGTGCCCGATGGGCAACTACACAAAGGACTATGATTAATAACTTGGCAATGAGCGCCTATACCACAAACACCTCTGCAAGGGTCAGCACATTTCAACCTATGGCAAGCTCTGTCCGGAGCACATTCACTACTAACAGTACACTCTGGGCGACAGTCTGGAGGTGCACCTCTGTAATCTGGAAGACACTCACATGACGCTAACCCTCCATTTTCTCTGCAAATACTGTTAGGACCACAAGGCGATGGTTGACATGGCTTTGGTGTATGAATGGGCGCATCTCTTGTGCACTGTTCAAAAGGATTTCCTGAAAAACCTTTCAAGCAGGCACAGCTAGGTACATGATTAATAACGTTACATTCTGCGTTTGTTCCACATATGCCTGGACAAGGATCAACGCATTTATTTTTAATGCATGATTTATCGGCTGAGCAATCCGAACTGAGTACGCACTCAGGACGGCAACCGTCATATGGATTTCCTTGGTAATCTGCTAAGCATGAGCATGATCCTGCTCCATCGCGCTGAGTGCAGACTGCATTAGCGCCACATGGTGATGGATCACATGGCTGTGGTAGTTGCTCTGAAAAGAATAAGCAAAATTAATAAGCGTCCTTAGGTTGTAACGTACCGGATTAAAGTTTACTATATTTAAGTATAAATTATTTCAACTTACCTTCCTGTAATACACATTGCATAAATGGATTTCCAGTGAACTTTTCTTTACACATACAAGAGACTGTATGGCTTACAACTATACAATCGGCATCAACACCGCATGAACCAGGACATGGGTCTATGCATCTATTTTTGATGCATGCTTGATTGGATGGACAATCTGGGTTAATAACACATTCAGGTCGGCAATTAGGTGGTTGACCCACGTAATTTTCTATACATCTACAATTTGGTTTCCCATTTCTTTCAATGCATTGTGAGTTTGGTCCACAAGGTGAAGGATTACATACGTCCTCATGATTCGGAGGAACTAAAACATCGTAACAACTTTTGAATGGATCTCCTGTTTGCATTGGACTGCAACTACAAATCGGGCTGTGATTAATTACTTCACATCGTGCAGACACGCCACAAGCATTTATACAGGGGTTTATGCATTTTTGATTAACACATGCTTTGGTCGATGTACATTCCGAACTAACTAAGCATTCTGGCCTGCAACTTGGCGGCGATCCTTGGAAACCTTCAAGACAAGCGCATATTGGAGCGTTATCAATATTTTTGCAAATACTGTTAGGGCCACAGGGTGATGGATGACACGGATCTCTAGGTCTTCCTGGTCCTTTTGTTTCTTCTATAGGGCGACAATGTGTGAATGGATTGCCAGTGTAGTCTGTCATGCATGAGCAAGTTGGTATGTGATTTATAACGTCACATTTAGCATTTTGTCCACAAACACCAGGACAAGGGTCACGGCATTTATTCCTAAAACAAGCTTTATCTCTTGGACACTCCTGACTACCTGTGCACTCTGGTCGACAGCTTTCGTACGGATTGCCACTGTAATCTGACAAACAAGTACAGAACCCATTTTCGCATAAAGCATTTGCTCCACATGGTGATGGATTGCAAAGATCTTGAGGAGATACCGTAGTAGGATCTAGAAAAAACAGCATTCCATTTATTAATGGTTAGTTAATACTCTTGTGAAGTCTATTTAGATGTAGAACTACGTAAATCATACCTTCAAGAATATGGAAACACCTCGAAAATGGATCACCCGTAAATCCTTCGTTACATACACATACGGCAACATGATTTAAAACATGGCAGGAGGCATCAACTCCACAGGACCCGGGGCAGGGATCTTCACACTTTTGACGGACACAAGCTAACGAAGCCGGACACTCAGTATTAATAGTACATTCTGGTCGGCAAGAAGGTGGTGAGCCTACATAACCTGGTAAGCACGAACACGCTGGACCACTTGCTAATAATTGACACCTTGAATATGGGCCACACGGCGAAGGCGTACAAGACGGCGGTCTTTCAGTTGTAGAAGGCTCATCTTCTAAAAATATCAAAATATCACTGTTAATTCGTATCTAACAATTATACATACAAATATCACAGACATTTGTTATCTTTACACTTACGGTAACATTGTGTAAATGGATCACCCGTCATCCCTATCGGGCACGTACAAATTGGACTATGATTTTTAACAACACAATGGGCTCTTAGTCCACAGGAATGAGGGCAAGGATCATCACATTTTTGATTTATACATGCTTTCGACGTATCACATTCACTGTTCACTATGCACTGAGGTCGACATGATGGTGGAGATCCTACATAATTTGGTAAACAAGAGCAAACTGCTTGCATGTTAACCTGTCTGCATTGACTGTTTGGACCACAAGGTGTCGGTTCGCACGGATTTTTCAAAGGCGGCGCTGTAATATATTCAAGGATAAGTTGGTTGAGTCTGTCAAATACCTACATGTTATTAGAAATTATAATAATTATACAATTAAGTGTGTTATTTTCAAATTGTTTCAACTTACGTGGTAATGTTATTTCCTTGCACTGGAAGAATGGGTCACCAGTATAACCTCTTGGACAGGTACATACAGGAATATGATTTTCTACTGTACATTGTGCTAATTGACCACAAGTTCGAGGGCAAGGATCAATACATTTAAATCGGGTGCATGCATAGTTTGGTAAGCAGTCGTCATTACTTTCACACTCCCTGCGGCATCCATACGAACTATATGGATCACCTTCATATTCTTCAGAACATATACATGCACCTGCTCCATTATACTCTCGGCATTCAGCGTTAGGACCACAAGGGGATGGGGTACACGGACTTGATGTTGGTGTCGTTTCAGCTAAAATGTTGATAGAGTCATAATTCACATTTTAGTAAAGACAATTTCATAAACAAAAGTTAATATAAATGGGCTAAGTATGAGGCTTTGAAGCACAAAATCTCTTTACTTATTAGTAGCATTGCAATATTCGTAGACATCTGTGAAAACGTTGCTTCAGTTAGAGTAAAAAAATTGAAATACATACATATTATTACTATCTGGTCACATTTTCTACTAGCGTCGCCTGTGAAACCTTGTTGACAAGAACATGTTGGTTTGTGGTTAATTGTTAAGCATAGAGCATTAACACCACATACTCCTTGACAAGGATCTTTGCAACGCTCATTAATGCAAGCCGTATTACTAGGACATTCTGGATCTATAGTGCATTCTGGTCTGCAATTAGGCACTCTTCCAATGTAATTTGGTAAACAGGAACAAGCAGCTTGATCTCCAATAACACGGCAATCTGATTTCGGTCCACAAGGAGATGGATCACAAGGGTCTCTCTTTGGTTCAACTAAAACATAATATTAAGGATAAGTTTACTTTAGAAAGGTAGGTATGCACAAAATCGTATTCTTAAATGTATATAATCCTTTGATAAATAGCATAAATGTTACTCTGATTTAAATTTGAATAAGAATGTTAAAATTTGATATTTGTACTATTTATATTTAGATGATTTGTACTTTTGCACTGACTGTAAAGTTTTGTTTACTTTGTAAATTTTAAATCTATTACTTACTGTCAATAAATTCAATTGGAATGCATTGTGTAAACGGATCTCCAGTGTATCCAGGACTGCACGTACAAATCGGGTTGTGTGTTATAACCTGGCACCTTGCATTAACACCACACGAATTTTGACATGGATCTTTGCATTTCTTTTTGATACATGCCTTGTCTTGTGGACATTCAGAACTAACAATACATTCAGGCCGACAGGCGGGTGGTGTGCCTATATAATCAATTTCACATGTGCAAACGCTATGACCATTAACCACCCGGCATAAGCTGTTTGGTCCACAAGGCGAGGGGTCACACGGATCAGATGTAGGCCTAATCGTAAATACTGAAATAAAATATTTAAGAATTATAGATCTGTGACTAATCAATTAATTATATTTCATTATTTATTTAATAATGAATAACTCTGAATGGATTAAAATTAGAAACATGGTGCTATATTAACTTATATTCAGCTCAAATATATCGAACGATGTACCACACGTAGTTATTGGAGGGTCGGACCAGGATTTTCATCCTCCTTTGAAATAATATTAAAATAAAATAATAATTGTTCATCATTACAGTTCTCTACAATCGTTTTCTGATAAAATTAAGAAAACCTAAATCTTAATTACTCATTTACCTTCTATTTCACATCTGACTAACGGATTACCAGAGTAACCACTCAAACAGGTGCAAGTTGGAGAATGATTAACAGTTCGACATTCAGCGTTCATGCCACAAGCTCCTGGACAAGGATCCTTGCACCTATTATTGGAACAGGCTTTATTTCTATCGCAATCGGAATTGGATACACATTCCGGTCTACATCCCGTATATGGATCGCCAAAGTATTCGGGCAAGCATGAACAAGAACCTACTCCGTTTCTTTCTTTACATATTGCATTTGCTCCGCATGGTGACGGGTTGCAAGGGTTGCGTGGTGGTTCTGGATGTTCTGTAAAGATACAAAAGAAAAAAACTGAAACATACGAAATAAAACATGTTTGACTGATGCATGATGAACCGCAATGAAAACTTACGTTCAAATGGTGAACAGCCACTAAATGGATCCCCTGTATACCCCAACAGGCAATTACATAATGCAACATGATTCGCAATAGTACATTCCGCATTAAAACCACAAGAACCAGGACACGGATCCACACAATTTTCATTTTGGCATGCAAGGTTACCAGGACATTCCGCATTGATAGAACATTCAGGTCTACAGTTTGGTGCTACGCCAATATAGTTTGGTAAGCATGAACATGCAGGTGCTTCTCCAACTATTTTACATTGAGAGTATGGACCACATGGTGATGGAACACATGGGTTTCCTTTAGGCCCATCTAAGATAGGTTCTATAGAGAAAATGAGATAGATTAAGAATTAAAGAACACAAGACAAGTACAAATAATAATAATAGATTTTAAAGATAAGAAAATAATTTAAGATAAAGGAAATGAAAAGAAAGTGAAATTTTTAAGAATCTGCTAACTAAATAAAGCAAATATCCTAATATTTTGAAGGGGGTTTAATACAAAATAAAATAAACAAAACTGTTTTCTTTATTATTTTAAACAAATTCTTACTTTGCTCCAACCGGCAAGTAACAAAAGGATCGCCTGTAAATCCAGGTTTACACGTACAAATCGGATTATGGTTTATAACTTGACACCTAGCATTTACACCACATGTTCCTGGACAAGGATCCCTACATTTCTGTTTCATACACGCTTGGTGTTGCGGACAATCACTGCTTATCACGCATTCTGGCCTACAAGTTGGCGGTGAGCCAACATATCCTTCCTGACAGGAACAAACTCCATGGAAATCCACTACTTTACATATACTGTAAGGCCCGCAAGGTGATGGCACGCAGGGATTTACATCAGCTAATGGCGCTAAAATCAAATTTTATATTTTCATTTATTAAACAACATCTTTGTTTGAGAGGTAAAATATTTACAAAAGAATGAATTTACTAACGTTTCCGCTCAGGATGACAAGATGTTACTGGGTTTCCGTCATATCCGTCAATGCATAGACATACTGGTGTATGATGCGAAACAGTGCATTGAGCATTAATGCCACATGCTCCTTGACAGGGGTCTATACATTTATTATTTGAACAAGCTTTATTTGAAGTGCAATCGTTATTTGTGACGCATTCAGGTCGACAGCCAAGATATGGATCGCCAAAATATCCAAGTGCACATTTACAGGCTCCAACAGAATGCTTTTCTGTGCAAACAGTGTTAGGACCGCAAGGTGATGGGTTACAAGGGTTTGTTTCATCTTCACTTGGCACCGTTACTAATAATAAAAATAATGAATAAGGACCATAATTTTTACAAAAAAAAAAAAAAAATTGCGAATCTTACCAATAAAGTAGCACCCACTAAATGGATCACCAGTATAACTTTCACGACAGTGACAAACTGCTTTATGTCCAATAACCACGCATTCAGCGTTTGCACCGCAAGATCCCTCACAAGGACTAACACAATTATCTCGAATACAAGCTAAATTGCTTGGACATTCTTCATCATATAAACATTCAGGTCGGCAGTTTGGTGCCCTTCCGATGTAGCCAGCTTGGCAAGAGCATGCAGGCGTTTCACCGATTATTCGACATTGTGAATTAGGGCCACATGGTGATGGAATGCAGGGGTTTTTAGAGATTGAAATTTCTGGTCCTAGAATTTGGGTAAGAGCGTAAAGAATCACGATTCGCCAAGATTCACACTTCAATTTAAATTATAAAGCTCGTTTTGTTAGACAAAGTAAAGAGAACGCAGTTTTGTTGTGTAACCATTACCGCTTATTAGTTTACCTTTTTTTAACTTAAGGATGTACATATATTAGTATTTTATTACTTTTTAATACATTAATTTTTAATATTCGTTTTTGTTATTCACTTTGTTATATTATTAAAATAAATCCTAGCACATTTCTATTGTTTAGTTTCAAACCCATTTTAAAATGAGTTAAATGTTTTCTTTGTGTTATTGTGTGATTTTCAATTTATTTTCCAAACAACATTAAGCTTTTAATTTAGCAATATAAACCAAAAATATTCTCTGCCGAACTCACGTTTCGCGTAGGTACATTGCACAAATGGATCACCAACATAATTTTGTGGACAACTGCATAGTGCGTTGTGATTAACAACAGTACATTTAGCGTTTCTGCCGCATACTCCGATACATGGATCCACGCATTTTTGATTCATGCAAGATTTATTGGGCATGCAATCACTGCTGACCATACATTCAGGACGACAGAAAGGAGGTGAGCCAAAATAGTTTTCGTTACAAGAGCAAACAGCGTGAGTGCCGCTAACTCGACATATGCTATACGGCCCACAAGGTGAAGGTGAACATGGGTCGACAGGAGTTTCCATTGGACCTAAAATGTACCATAGTTATCAATATTCTTAGATAAGTGTTTAATTTGCATTTAAAATACATAAACTTCAAGTCCTTACTTGTATAACAAGATGTAAATGGATTTCCTTCATAGCCAGGCAAACAGGAACAAGATGGTGCGTGATTATTCACGCGGCATTCCGCATTCATGCCACATACCCCAGGACAAGGATCTTTACATTTATTATGAACACAAGCTCTATCTTTGGGGCAATCTGAGTTTAAAACACATTCTGGACGACATTCCACATATGGATCACCATAGTATTCAGGAAGGCATGAACATGATCCTACACCGTGGCGTTCTTTGCATATAGCATTTGACCCACATGGTGAGCGTGAGCAAGGACTTTCAACTTGAGGTTCGATAGCTATAAGAATAAATAAATTAACTATGGATTTGTGAAACTACAATATTTATTTAAAAATATATCAGTGTCAGACTTACAAGGGACAGAAGAGCATCCCGAGAATGGATCGCCTGTATATCCATGATCACAAGTACATATAGGAATGTGTTTAACAACGGCACAATTTGCATGAAATCCACAAGAACCTGGACAAGGATCACTACATGTCTCACTCAGGCATGCCAAGTTCCCAGGACATTCTGCATTTATCATACATTCAGGTCTGCAATTAGGAGGGCGTCCCACATAGTTTTGTAAACATGAGCACACTGGTACACCATTAAGATCTTTGCATTGAGAATGTGGGCCACAAGGGTTTGGCATACAAGTGTTTATTGGATCCATAGGTCCTGTTGGGAATGAATGAGTGAATAAAGATAGTATTTTATAATATTTCAGTAGAGCTACAAATATTGTGTTTCGCAAATATGTATAATATAACTTTTACTTACTTTCATCAAAGAAACATCTTACGAAAGGATCACCTGTGTAACTATTGAAGCAACTGCATATTGGATTATGGTTCACAACTTGACATTGCGCATCAATACCGCACGTACCGGGACATGGGTCCTGGCATTTCTGATTAATGCATGCTTTATCAGGTCTACAGTCAGTACTAATTATACACTCAGGCCTACAATTTGGCGGCGAACCAACGCATATATCAAGACATGTGCAAACGGCATGTCCATTAAAAACCCGACAATTACTGTATGGCCCACAAGGAGTAGGGTTACACGGATCCACTGATTCCACTAGAGCTAAAGTAAATAGGACAGAAAAGAGGCAGATAAATATAGTGTGAGATATATAAATAGACACATAAAGAAAGATAAAGAAAGAAGGTCTTACATATAGGTGTGCATGCATGAAGTGGGTTTCCACGATATCCAGACAAGCAGTAACATGAAGGTACATGGTTCGCTACTCTACATATGGTGTTCTGCCCACAAGCACCAGAGCACGGGTCCACGCACTTATTATTGAAACAGGATCTATCCATTGGACAGTCAGTATTCATTACGCATTCTGGCCGACAGCCACGATATGGATCACCATAATAATCATCTACACATGTACAAGAACCAGCACCATTTCGTTCTCGACAAATGGCGTTAGGGCCGCAAGGTGATGGATTGCAAGGCTGATGTAGTACGTCTTTTGAAACTGAAAAGTTTTATACATAAACATGCTGGCACAAAGAGGTACAGAAATATGTATCATGCAAAGGTAGTGCAAAAGCTTAATACTATTATGTTTGTAGTTAAAGATAATTCCTACCTTCTTTAGGGTTACAGCCAGCGAACGGGTCACCAGAGAAGCCGTCATCGCAGGAGCATATTGGTTGATGGTTTTGCACAGTGCACCTTGCGTTGAACCCACAGGAGCCCACACATGGATTTATACACGTTCCACTAAGACAAGCTAAAGCTAGGGGACAATCTTGATTAATAACGCATTGTGGACGGCAAGACGGTGGAGCTCCGAGTGTGCCCGGTTCACATGAGCATACCGCTCGTCCACCTTCGTTACGACACGATGAATGTGGACCACACGGTGATGGCAGGCATGGATCGGGAGCCGGTGGATGAATAGCTATTATTAAAACAATTTAATGAGTTAGTGAATAATAGTTTTAAGAAACTCTGATGCATTAGATTGTAATACTCACTCTTCCTATTACACTTAATAAATGGATCTCCCTCTGGTAAATTTTCTGGACAAGTACAAATAGGGTTGTGCCCCACGACGTGGCATCGCGCGTCTAAACCGCAGCTGTGCACGCAAGGGTCTCTGCATTTCTGGTTGATGCATGCTTTAGCCGCTGGGCATTCGGAGTTGACTGCACACTCTGGGCGACAAGCCGGGGGAGCACCCAAATAGCCCGGTCGACAAGAACACACAGCTCTATTACTCACTACGTGACACTCGCTGTTCGGTCCACACGGCGATGGTTCACAAGGTTTAATTAGAGATGCTAAAAAGGTGAAATATACTCTTTATATACATACACTATATTTACTTTAAAGAATTTAAGTGAACATATTTTAATACGTACGTGGTCGAGACTTCTGACGGCACGATGAAAATGGATCACCTTCATATCCTTTAAAGCATGTACAAATTGGAACATGGTTAGTTACGGAACACTCTGCATTTACACCACATAAGTCTTTACATGGATCTCTGCAGTGGTTTGAAAGGCAAGCGAGATGATTTGGACAGTCTGAATTTAGCGTACATTCTGGTCGACAACCACCCGCATAAGGATTGCCGATATTGGGAGGAATGCAGGAACAACGAGCAACATTATTAGTTACTGTACACATAGTGTTCTCTCCACAGGGCGATGGACTACACGGAGTGGATTCAGATTTGCCAATAGCTACACAACCGATGAACGCATCACCTTTGTAATCTTCTAAACAGCTACAGAGCGGAGTATGATTCACTACATCGCATCTAGCATTCTCTCCACATATACCGGAGCATGGATCAATACATTTCTCATTTATACATGCTTTATTAGATGGGCATTCTTGAGTAATAACACATTCTGGTCTACAATAAGGGGGTGTGCCTGAATAGTTCGGGCGACATGAGCACACAGGATGGTTAGATTTTATTTCACAGACTGAATTTGGACCACACGGCGAAGGCATACAAGGATTTTTTTCTCCGCCGGGTATTGGGTTCACTATTTCTGCACAAGCTACAAATGGATCCCCAGTTTGTCCGGCACTGCAACTACAGATCGGATTATGGTTCACTACAACACATACAGCGTTAACACCACAACTACCTTGACAAGGATTTGAACATCGTTGATTAACGCATGTCTCGCTTTGTAAACAATCGGAATTGCTGACACATTCTGGTTGACACATTGGCGCTACTCCTCTATGGCCTGGTAGGCATGAGCAAACTGCAAAACCCGTTGGTGACACAAGACAACGGCTGTATGGTCCGCACGGTGATGGATCACAAGTAGATAATGTGGATGTCGGTCCGATTGTTTGTTGACATCTTACGTATGGGTCTCCAGTATGTCCATTTTTACAATAGCAAACGGCGTGATGATTGACAGTTTTACATAATGCTCCAATTCCACAAATGTCTTTGCAAGGATTTTCACATTTATTATTTAAACATGCTAATTCTGGCGCACAGTCACTATTGACAACACATTGTGGCCGGCATGAAACATATGGGTTACCGTGAAAATCTGGCAAACATTTACATATCAAGGCACCATTTGAATCTTCGCATACAGCATTCGGTCCACAAATAATGTTATTACAAGTATCAGCTGCAAAAAAAATGATTACGAAATGAAATGCTTAAAAATCGTAAAATAGACATGTATACAAAATTTAATAGATGTAATACCATTTAAATACCTAGAATATACTTACGTGTCTTTATAACAGCAACTTTGCAGTGTTCATACGGGTTTCCTTCATATCCGTCTATGCAGTGACATATAGGATCATGTTGATAAACATAACATTCGGCATTGACACCGCATGATCCTGGACAAGGATCAGTGCATTTATTTCTTAAACATGCCTTGTCAAACGGACATTCAGAGTTAAATACACATTCTGGTCTGCAAAGTGGGTTATTGATGGCATTAGGGCCAACACAAGGATCGCAAATAGCGAATTGACTGCCATAGGTGTCGCACGGAGAGTTAGGGTCACACGGATTCGGAGAACAGGGCTGAATTGTTGTATTGTCACCAATTATTATCGCTAAAAATAAAATAATTGTATAAATATTCTATTATTGGTAAAAAAATATTTTTAAATATATTGTGTACTTTTAAAAATCAGTTGGATCTTTAAATCTTATGCATAACGTCAAATCTTTAAATACTTACGTCGATAAATACAATGGCTTAATGGATCCCCAATGTAGCCGTCTGGACACAAACAAGATACTGTGTGATCAGAACACAAGCAGATTGCATGAATACCACATACATTATTTAAAGAGCATGGATCTGTACACTTGTTATTGATACACGCTTCATTTGAGGAACAGTCAGAATTCATAGTGCATTGAGGTTTACATTCTATAGCCGGATCTCCTAAGAAATCAGGTGGACAGAAACAGAAAGCTTCATCACCAACATCTTGACAAATTGCGTTAAAACCACATGTTGCCCTTTGGCAGGGGTGTGTTTTTTGATTTTCAGATGGTAAACAACGTATTAAGGGATTGCCAATAAAATTATCTTTACAAATACAGACCGGACGGTGTGATTCTACTCGACACAATGCATTAAATCCGCAAGCTCCAGGACAAGGGTCACGACAAGCATACCCTATACAGGCTTTGTTAAGTTTACATTCGTCATCTACTTCACATTCTCTAGAATGACATCCTTCGGCTCCATGGGCATCGCCGATGCTGCCTGAAGGGCAGATACACGTAGATTGTCCATCATAGGTAGTTTGACAAATAGCTTGGGGTCCACATGGGTTTGGAGTACAAGGACTTCTTTGTGGTTGGCAACCGATGTGTGGATCACCAGTGAAGTCAGATTTACAGAAGCACATTTCGATATTTCCACTTACGTAACAATCTGCATTGGGACCACACGGACCAGGTTTACATAGCACATCAGGTGGAAGGTAGCCTTGAGGAGTACACGATTTATAAGGATTTCCTAGAGTATTTTCTGGACAATAACATGGTGTCGCTCTATTAGGATCACATCGCGCTCCACTGCCACAAGTGTTTGGTTCGCAAGGGTTCCTTGACTCCACACAACCTCGAATCGTATTTGGACTTTCAATATAACCTGGTAGACACGTGCACTTTGCGAAACCATTCGATAGTAGAGTACACTGTGTGTTAGGACCACAAGGTGATGGATTACAAGGATTATTAGGAAGCCTGCAAGCCTGTCGTGGTGGATCTCCTTCATAGTTTGGTAAACAGAAGCAAGCAGGTTTGTTATCTATTAATCTACATCCTGAATATGGTCCACATGGATTCGGCTCACATTCGTTTCCTTCTGGTACTGAAAAGTAATGACAATGAAAGTTAAATTTGTTCTTAATGACTCTAAGAATTAAAATGCAATCGTGTAGCTTTTTAGACACTAAAAATCTAAAGGGTTTTACAATTGCAAACAATGCCGTAAGTTTAGATATTCAGAGATATTAATAAAATGAAAACCAGTAATCCCATCAAGCTGTTTGCACCATGCGGCAAAAACGATTTTCATTTCTTTAATTACTAGTATACTTACTGCAATTTTTGAACGGATTTCCAGTTAAACCTTTTGGGCATACGCAAACTGGTCTTCCTTCATCTGATTCACAAATTGCGTTTGTGCCACAAGGATTTGGTACACACGGATTCGTTGGGGGCTCACATCCAAGTTTGGCATTTCCTGTGTACCCTGGCAAGCATTTACAGGATGCACGGTGATTCAAAACATCGCATATAGCATTCATTCCGCATCGGCAGGGAGAACCACATCTACCATTGATGCACGCCTCTGAATTTGCACATTCATTGTCAGATCGACACCCTTGAACTAAAAAAAATATATAGTAATTGCATTATGTTTAATGGAATAAAGAGAATAATAATATATCGGATATCTGACACGCAACGCCATCTAGTCTCAAACTAAGCACAGCTTGTACTATGAAAGCTAGATTGACTGATAGACGACTTTTATACTTTTTTTATAAATACATACATTTAAATTTTACATAATTGATGATTTACATAAAAAGATACAGATTCTGAAAAAATCCATCGCGTTTACAGTAACACACAGATAAGATAAATACTTAAGATTACTAAATTACATAGTTATTTAACAATAAACTATCGGGTGTATGATGTAATGTTTGATGTAGGCGTAGATTAATTTTAATTTTTATCGTAAATCCACATAGTTTTATCGCATCTTTACTGTATTATTGTTTGTAGTTTGTAACACTGTCTATTTATTAACAGCTATTAGATTCGGTCTATAAGACAGAAATTATGTTATAATGTTATTTGTATTTTGTGCCGATTGAAAACGAGAAAGCCATATTTTCATCTACCTAAGAAATTCGTCTGCTAAATGTAATGATAATGATAATAAATTACCTTGGAAGCATTCTAAGAATGGATTACCGGTGAAACCAGCATAACATTTACATTGAATGCCATGATTTGATGGGATACATTCAGCATTATCACCACACTGGTCGACGGCGCATGGGCTGATGCATACTCTATTAAGTCTGTCGCATAAGAGCTCCGGTGGACAGTCTTCGTTATACTGACACACTGAACCATGAGGTATTACTAAAATAACAAATACATTAGTATCTAAAATTAATACAAATTAAAAAAACACTTACAAATTGTTCAAATGCATATGTATACGAAAGGATAAGGATTATAGATAGGCATGCATAACGGTGATATCTTGATTACTAAACGGAACAAATGGAATAAATTCAGCAGAAATTCAGATGGAACAAGAGACAAAAATAATAAAAAAATATAGGTATTTCTTCTTAGAAATCTTACCTGGAACACACCCGACGTATCCATTTCCTTGGAAACCTTCGGCGCAACTACAATCTGAACCATGGTTTGTGTTTATACAGGCCGCATTAGGTGCGCACGGGTTGTGTATGGCACATGGGTGTTGACATGCATTATTTATACAAGCCTCGGTCAGGTGGCAGTCTTCATTTCGAGTACAACCAACTAAGTAAGAGATATTTAATTATACTTTGTACAAAGTCAAAGCGAATAATTCATATATGTTAAGTATAGGGACGTGTTTTTATAGTGCCATAACCATTTTCAATTTACAAAGTGATTACAATATAATATAGTTCTCATAAATCTAGGAGAAATATTTTACAGACATCTAATTTTAGTAGGATGTCATGAAAAAAGTAGTTATGTTAAACTATGTATAGTTTAAATGTATTGTAATTAGTAGATATCAGTTAAAGCTTACATATTTTAGGTGAACATTTAACAGCTGGGTCTCCATCGTGTCCAGCGGGACACGAGCACATAGGTCTTTGTTTTACAGGTTGACAATTAGCTTCAACACCACAAACGTTGTCGAACTCACAAGGGTTTTGACATAACCCCATAAAACAGGCTTCGGTCTCTATACAGTCCCGATCAGAGTGACAAGGTTCTGGTACCTTTGGTGTTCCGGGTGATTCTAGTATGTTATACGTTAGATACATAATTAGTATGTTACTATTGAAGGAAAGTGAACATTAGTGTATTTACAAATTGCATTAGGTAGAAAAATTAACTAAATAATTACACATTTGTCCGGTAAAACGACCTTTAACTTGAACAAAAATTTTAATATTTATATTGTCTCGTAAATAAGATTTCAGTTACAAATTCAAAACACCTGAAATGCCTACCTTTGCGTAAGCACTGGTTCCCGGTGGAGTCATCACATAAACAAACAGCGCCATGGTCGATAACTATACACGATTCGTTCTTTGTGCATCTAACCATGTCGCATGGATTCTGGCATACTCCATTTATGCAAGCTTTATTGGTCGGGCAGTGTGAGTTTATTTTACAGCGGGTGCTATTATGAAACTCGTAAGTGGGTACAGTAGCTTCCGTAGAAGTCATGTCAGTCTGTGTCATGTCAGTCCAAGCAGAAATATCAACAACCTTTTTACGAGAGGTTATACTTTCAGTAGAGGTACTAAGACTCGTCGAAGTATGACGCGATTGTGATGGGATTTTTGTTTGACCTGAATCTGAATTGTAAATGTCGGTAGCAGCAAAGTTGCCATCACTGACTCCTATTTCATTTTTCAATGTAGTAGTACTTTCAGCCCAATTAATGAATAATGTACTTTCAGCATATTTTGTTGTAACTGTAGGTGTTTCGGTGTAATCAAAAGATAAAGTACTTTTAGTATCTGAGGACGTAGGTGAACTACTTTCTTCTTTCATAGTTATCGTTGTTAATGAATAATTGATAGAATTATTTCCACCTGCGTCTTTTTCGTTCTGAGTCGTTAATTCGGTTGTTCCTACTATACTTTTGTTGAAGTCATACAATTGAGTGGAATTAGAAGTGATATATGTTTGGTCCGTAAATTTCATAGTATTTGGATTATACTCATCTTGTGTAGTTGATTCAGTGTTACCAGTGTTAGTGTCTTCAGTAGTACTAATTATGTCTACCTTAGGTACATTTTTTGTTGTAAATTTTGTAGTTGACTCTACATTTGATACAGTTTTAGTTTGCTGAAATGGATTGCTCACTTCAGTTTCAAATGTCAAAGGACTACTAGTAGAAGTACTAGTCATAGTAAATAAGACATCTACCTCACTTACATTTTGTGTCGTTAATGAACTTGTTTGATCTGTTGATATAATATTAAATGAAGCAAAAGTTGTTGTAGCGTCAACTGAAGTTGGCTGATCAGCATCAGTCAAATTTAAAACTTCATTTATATTTTCTGTAGTTGGCGTGGTTTCCGGTGTCTGATTAAGTGAAATGAAGTTATAAGTAGTAGTATATTTTCCTACTTTGTGTGTATTTTCCGTCATCAAATTATTATTATTTTCTAATTCTGAATAATTTTCATTAATAGAAGGTAGCTTAGTGTCAAAGGTTGAATGAGTGTTAGTTGCAGTATTTTCTAATTCGACTGTATTTTGTGTCGTTGATTCACTTGCGATTGAACTAAATATCTTCGTCATATCCGACTTAAAACTTGTATTTTCAACATTATTTTCATGTTCAGTACCGGTATTTTCGACATCTTTCATATATTTAGTTATTGTAGTGGTTTCAATTTCATTGGCAAGTGTTGTTAAAGTTTTAATCGTTATATCAAAATTAGGCATGGTTTCAGTTAAGTTAGTAGTATCACCTACATCTACACTGGATATTAAATCAATAGTATTAAATGAATTTTCTATTGGGCTTACAGTTGGTTTTGCAGTAGTATCTATAATATCAATAGGATCAGATGAGAATTTTAAGTGATTAGTGTCCGTTACATGTTCTATTTCATTTGGAATAGGTGATTTAGAACTTTTATCTGTTTCTGAATTGGTCGCAGATTGATCAAATGGCGCAGTAACGTCTGCATCTAATATTAAATTGTGAGCCGTTGTACCCATTTTTACTTTGTTTATATTTTTTGTGATGTTAATTTTTTCTACTTCTAATACAGTTTCCATTGGATATCCGAAATAAGTAGTACGTAAACTAGATGTGATGGGATAGTCAGTAGTTATTGCTTTTTCTGTTTTTGTATCTTGCGACATAATATTATTAATTCCACCCTCGCCATAAGATGTATCGGAAATAGATGTTTTAGTAATAGTTATATCCGATGGGTAAGTATTTAAGGATATTGATTCTGTTGTTATTTCAATACGTGGGACTGTCTCAATGTGATCCAGTGTATTTATACTTGTTTCAGTTTCTTTTGTATAAGATACCTCTGTTACAGTATCACTGAATTCCATATTATCGGTGGTGATAAATTTTTCAATTTTATAGTTATTTTGTACAGTCATTTCTATTTCTGGTATACTGTCTGCTGCGTGATATATTCTTGTGGTGCCTACACTGGATATTAAGTTATTAATAGGAGAAGTTGTTTCCATGTTGTCTGTATTCTGAGTTACTAGTTTAATTGTTGAATCTGGGTCAAGAGCGTTCTCTGTTTTATCGTGGACTTCGGTCACAACATCACTAGAAATTAAGTGGTTTGTGGTTATCTTATTTATTTTATTTCCATTTTCTAATGGTGTTGTTGAAGTGGTGTCAACGTACTTAATAGTGTATTGATCAGTTGTAGCTTCTACATTGTTCTCATATTCTGTCATGTGTATTGCTGTGACGTCAGCGTCTAAGTTAGTTCCAGTATTGTAAAATCTTTCTGTTATATCGCTAGAAGTAGAAATCTCTAAGATGGATTCTAAATTATCAATCGAAGTGGTCACTATTTTTGGGGAGATTATAGTTTTATCTGTTTCAAGTGGTTCAGTAGTTTGTTCAAATACCTCTGTGATATCAATACTTATGGAGTGGTCACTTGACGAAGTTCTTAATATGTCATTTATGTTTTGTGTTACTGCAGTTGTAGTGCCTTTAAAAGTGTAATCAACATCGCCACTAGTGTTCAAAGGTTCAGATGTGACATCCATGCCATTATTCACGATGTTATCTGTTGTTGTTTTTTTTATTATTTCTGATTCTAAGACAGTCACTGTTTTAGTATCGATCTCTGTAATACTCATTTGGGAAGTTAAATGTGAAGAGATAGTTAATAAGTCATTCAGATTATGGGTAGTACTTTGAATTTCATCTATTTTATTTAGGGTGGCACTTTTCTTATCATCAGCGTAATTAACCGTTGATGTTTCAGATACCATTCCTGTATTTAGATCTTTATTTCTACCTAGCAAATTGGCGTCTAGGAGTGTACTTTCTTGAAAACCTTGTTTCGTTATTAATACACTATTTTCCATTTCAGAAACTGTGTTTGTGATTTGTGTCGGAATATTGACTTCATTTATATTAATTAAACTTTCATTTTTACTTAGGAAACTATTTGTAAACGGTAAAACAGTATTCATAGTTAACTTATTAGTTTGAGTAGTGTGTACTTCTAATTCATTTGTATTAATAGGGCCATCTTTATTTGTTTGTTCTTGAATTAGTGTTACTTCTGTCAAATCAGTTGTTTCTGGTAAAACGTGAGCTCTAATAACATTATCTTTAACAGTTTGATGATGTTCTGGCTGACTGAATCCTTCTGTAACTGTATTTGGCATAGGTTCATCAGTTCTCTGTGTGATTGGTATTGTTTCACGAGATTCCTGTATCATATCGGCTGATGTTGTTTCTTTGGTTGGTATAGCAGAGTAATCTTTATTCATATCTGTCATTTCTTCTGTTGGCACAGATGAATTAAAATCATTTAGTGTGATCGACTGCGATTCTTTCGTGTATGCCTCACTTATAGAGTTTGTAGTAAACTCTTCAACATACTCTAATTCAGTTGAAGTTAAAGGAAATGATTTTTTTATTGAATTTGTCGACGTCTCTGTGTTTTCATACAATGTTTCTGTATAGTGTGTATACGAATTGGGATAGACAATTGTAGAAGATTCGGTGATTCCATTTACACTATTTGTTGATAAAATCTCCGTAGTTGATTTAGGGAATGGTAACTGGTTCATTTTGTATGGTTTTTCTGTTATTGTGCTCTCACTAACAAATATAGGATTACTAGAGCTATCTACATTTGATTTAAGCACAGCCTGTAAGTTTTGTTTTGGTGTAGTTGACAATAATGTTTCTATATTTGTTTCAGTCGTAGATTCAAAATTATCGAAGTCGTTTAGTGTTGAAACGGTATTTTGAACCATTAATACTGTAGCATCTTTTGCTTCCATTTTTGTATAAATTGAAGTTGTAAAATCCAAGTAAGGTTTTATGGACCCAGTTGATTGTAACACAGACGTGGTTACGCCTGACGAATCAAAATCATTTCCATTTCGGATTGTTGAAGCTGAATTTTCTGTAGGTCGTGCTACATTATCCGGTGATTTTATAGCTTTAGTTCCGGTTTGAACTGTTTCCTTCGTTGGATTTTCTGTAGTCAAATATAAATCTGAAGTGGCGGTAGTGTCTGATAGCTGTTGTGAAGATTTTTGAGTGACAGTTAACATTTGGAACTCCGGTTTATTTGTCATTAATGAGTTTAATTTAATTTGACTTATTGACGTACTACTTTGATCACTATATTGCGTTGTAGTTGCCGTAAGTTCTATTCCAAGGTATTTGTTATCCTTTTCACGTTGTAGATTCTGTGCCATAGTACTATCTACATTTAAAGTATGAAGGTTAGGGGGAACTGTTGAAATATAGTCTTTTGCAGTTTCTCTCACAATTGTCGAAAAATTCGTTTTCAAGGTGTGGTCAGTAGTGGTTACATCTGATTTTGAATGAGTGAAAGCAGGTAATGTAGTTAAATCCAAATAGTGAGTGTCTTCGGTAGATGTTTGCACCGTACTAGTCGAATCTACATTCGTTGTAGAAATTTCCTTAGCAATTGCTATATCAATTTCATTTACATTTTTATCATATGGGTGTATTTCTTGCGTGAAATCAATAATAGAGTTTTTGGTTAAAGTATCTTCCGTTCCGTCTGATGTGATTTTATTTAAGTTTGGGTTTAAGGAAGACATTTCAGATGTGCTAAAATGACTAAGTAAAGTACTACTCTCTATTGAAGAATTTGAGCTACCGGATGTTGTATGTGATGGCAGCGTGGATATTTTTATGCTGTTTTCAGATATATTTTGTACTAACGTAATTCCCGTATAGTTGCTATTAAGTTTACGTTGATTTTCAGGGGTTTTAGTATTTTTATTTTCATTAGGGGCAGTTGACGTATAATTTGCCTCTATAGTTTTCTTAGTATATGGCTTTACAGTACTTTCAACGTGAATGGTACTACTACTTTGTAAGAGAACATCAGAGTCTATTGAAGTGTGATAATCATTGATCTCAATGTAAGGTGTAATTGTGGGTGATGTATTTTCATTGATTAATATTGTATGTACAGTGTTGGTATCGTAAAATATATCATTTTGATCTGCAGGTCTAGTTCCGAGTTCAAATAGTGATGTGACAGTGTGCGATGGGGTCTTTGTCACTTTGTATTTTGGACTATTTAATAGTTCATTAGTAGTATCTACTATATCAATTGCTTCTTTATTTATTTCAGAATGTCCTACTCCTGTTGTAAGATCAGTAAAACTATTATAATTTACAGTACGATTACCTGTACTGACTGATACATCCTTCCCCTTAGAACTTATGGTAGTCGCTTCAAGATTATTTTGAGATTCTGTTGATTTATCAGTGGACAATGCATTAATAAGGTTAAAGTCACTGAAACTCAGTTGAGTCGTTTTTTCAATTACTGTCGTTGATATAGTGCTGGTAGTACTAATGTCACTATCGGTGGTTTCATGTTTAGATTCTACTAAATACAATGTCGTGTCAGGTAAATCGTTAGCAGTAATAAATCTTTCAGTAGGTACAGTTATAGCAACAGTGTCAGTTTCACTTTTTCCTCCCGACGTGGTAGTGGATTCTGTTAATGGGACATAACTTCCATCTGTTAATGGGAATGCAATAATATCATTTAATTTGTATGTTTTTGTAACTTTGATCACCAACCATTCACATTCGCAAAATACATAAAAAGTGAAAGTAGTACAATGTACAATGCGTAAAATATTGCATGAAAAAACATGAAAGAGAACAACTTTCTACGAGCAATGTCATCCATTGATCTAATAGTAAAGAAGCTGAAAGTAGATAGAAGGAAAAAGTAAAGAAATTACGAATTTAGGCTTACTTGACGACATTATAAAAATGATAAGATCATAAATAACAAAATATAAAAGAACATTACTAATTTTAATCAATTGTTTGTCATCAAAAGGGTCTTTAAGCCTAAAACCGCTTACTATGATTAATATATATATATATAAATATTATGTAGTCTCTTAAAACTAACACTGTCTCAAAGTGTTTCGGAGTGTGTATAAAATTTATAAAGAATTGCCTACCGGGTCTGCCGTGATATCGTAGCCAGTATTTTGTGGCGTTTTATCGGACAAATGGTAAAATAGTACAAAAACTATAGCAATAACCAGTTCATCTGGTGTTAGTCTTGCTATTCACATAATAAAAATAATAGTTGTAGACTTTCAAGTAATATAGCTGAAGTCTACGAAACATCAATCATGTGAAAATAGCATGTAGATATAGAAGACTCAACCGTAACTCATACACGCATAAATTTCGTGTTATAGTTAGCTTAATTTAATTTACAAAATATTAGCAATTTTAGCAGTGTTAACTTATAGCAACTTTGTTGAAATTTCGTTTATTTTGGTAAGTACATATATATACATTGGACTTACTTTCCATGCAGGCTCCAGAGAAAGGATCGCAAGGGACTCCTGGACGACAATGGGCGCAACTCGTTGTTGGGATTCCTTTTTCATCTAAAAAAAATAAAACATAATCTATTAAACTATCTTCATTCGTTTTTAACTATTGCGATGTGTGTTTTGTAAACGGTTTTACAATAATTATTATTAATTTGTACTGTGGTAGTTTTTTGACGTCAAAAAAGCCCAGTGCTAACATTTGATGTTTAACATCACAAATTGTAAGATGTATTATAATTATAGTCAGAGATAACTTTTAACGTCTTTACTTACGTTTAATGCAAGCGCAGCCATCACAATATGTATTTGGATATCTTGTGCAATCTGATGAGGTTTGACATTGACACACTAAAACAAAAAAGAATGAAGAAGTGTCCAATAAAATATTAAAATATAAATAAAAATAATTCAAATATAAATAAAGGACAATCCATGACGCATAAACACACATACCCTTTGAACAAACAGGTTGATGATCGAGAACAGCGCAGTGTTGGCCATTGAGGCAAGGACCGCTACGAGCGCAAGGATCTGAGCACCGGCCGCTGATACAAGCGAGAGTTGGCGCGCAGTGATCGTGACTACCGCATTCTGTAGCTGCGTACACGAAACCAACATCAATATCTTTTAATTTCGTTTCACTACTACAAACAATTGAATTTAAAATTACAGAGATATTTATATTCTATATCAGTACTTATTAAACGTGAACCATAACGTAGGTACTCGTAAGGAATAAAAACGTTCCTTGCTAATGCTTGATAATTACATTTGTAAGTTTTAATTTTGTGTAAGTATTTTAACAATGTTGTACCGACAATATGCCACATAATAAGGCGAAAATGAAGAAATATTTATTCCTGAAGTTACATGCGTTTGGGTCTGTTGTCTTCTAGGGTTCTGCCAATAGCAGCGTACTACAGGGATCATGAACATACGCTTGCAATTAGGACTAACAGTAATACTAGCTAGTTGAAATATCTGTAATTACGACAGAATCTAGTTCAGAAAATCAGGGATGCGCCTAAATTTAAAAACTATAAAATAAATTAAATACGATAACGCAAAAATATACTTTATCCACCATATGCCAAACATGCTCTCATTCAGTGTTTGGTACTTTAATCGAGAACTGTCCGAACTAAATCACAATTATTATTTTTTGTGAAACCGCATATCTATAATTTACGTTTAACATAAAGCCCATACTTTGTTAATATGATACATGATTAAATAACTACACAAAAAATGATGTAAATCACCGCAATAAATGGTTTTTGTTCACAAGAAATTAAAAATAGGTGGTATATTGTTCATTTTCTCAGACTGCAATTATGTTACTAAACAAGAAAACTAATAATTATTGCAACATAACAAACAAAATATATATCATACATACGTACATATTAGTGTTTAGAAGGCATTCTATGTAAATTTGCAAACTCTGTCTCGTGGCTGTTTTGTTGCATGTATAATTATTCCTAAGGCATTGAAAGCGTTAAAATAAATTGAGTTAGAGCAACCACCACCGAAATAAGTTTAAAATTAAATAAATAATATGTACAATATAATATAATACCAACATGCCAGAAAAACTACCTGATGCAGAAGGAGTTCAAACTGTGGAGAAAGATAAATATGAACATGCTAGAAAAAATAGAGATCAAAGATAGGAAAAGAACCGCATGTAGTCATAAGGTAGAAACTATCAACATTTCCTGCAATAATGAAGAACAAGATTATTAAGATTCATAGACTCTAATATACTAAATGGTAGGTACACTTATATTTTAATTTTTGGTCACTACAAAATTACCTTTAATGCAGCCATGTTTCTCATCGTGTGTGAATCCATTAGGGCAGAACTTGCAAACAGGGTGGTGATCTTCAACTGAGCACGGGGCACCATTGCAAGCGTCTTTACAAGGGTCTTTGCATTGAAAGTCTCGACATGCTAAGTTACTTGGACATCCACTATCTCTTAGGCATATTAATACAGATGGATTACATTCCTCAACACATATGCATATTGCGCGGTGGTCTACTACTTCGCATTGCTTTCCTTTCGCACACATAGGCTCTACAGACGCTAGACACGGATTCACACACTTGGAATTACGACAAGCCGCATTAGATGGACACTGCTCGTCTCTTGTACATTCTGCGTGTTCGGGAGCGCAATTTATTTCTCCTTTTTCATTTAAAGCAAATCCATTTCTACATACACAAATTGGTCTATGATCTCGGACCTCACATTTTTGATTGCCTCTGCAACTATTATATCCCAGGCAAGGATTGTAACATTCGTTCGTGTTAAGATCACAAGCCAATTTGGATGGACATGGTTTTGTATCAGAACAGGTATATGTAATATTGTGCTCATCTGTGGACTTGCATGATGAATCAAGACGACATGCGATTCGCGGTTGACCCACATAACACTGAGGACATGAGCACTGCGCCTTGTGCATCAGCGTTACACATAAAGCATCTTCTCCGCATACACCGCGTACCGTGCAAGGGTCCACGCAGTGTAAGCTTAGACAGGCTCTGTCTACTGGGCAATCCTTGTCGCTCGTACATTCGATACCTAGGAAGATGAGAAAGAAGAAAGCAAAGTCGAGAGAGCGGTACCTTTAGCCGCGAAGAGGAAACTTTCTCACGAGACAGTGCATGCTTTTTGAAACTGATAGTTTATGACCAGAGATATGTATAAAACGGAAAATTATAATACAAGCGATATGTACATGAAGCCGAACAAAATGTTACTGACGGTTTGAGAAACTTAAGCACGAACGGTGAGAATGCTTCCACTAATTAAACATACCGTTAATACAGATATGTTACGGCATATTACAAAACTTATTTATAAACAAAATAATGTTTATTTTAAGTGATTAGAAATAAGTGATTTGGTCTATTTGTAAATCATAAGGGTTCCCAAGGATGTATGTTTACTGTTTTAGGTTGAATAATTCGTAATAATTGATAAGCTTTTTAAAGCTTTTTTTTTTAAGCTTTTTAATTAACATGATTATAAACTTCCTTTGGCACCCATTTCATCTATGGACAACTTATATTTAACCCATTTAAATACCACTATATACAAGAATGTGGTAAAAGTGTTTATATTTAAATTTATACAATCTTCTAATTTCATTTGTTACTGAAAAATTATCGGGCCTAATTGGTTTTTATGAAAGAAAACGTGATAACTATGAAATACAGACTGCATAATAGTGCATCATTTTGTACATGGTGACGAGACTATCGATAGACTATGATACTTACTGGTGTGACATTCGATATCAGCTTGGCCTTCGGTGCCGGGGATGCACCGGCACACAAACTCAGCGCCTTCTCTTAAACATTCTCCATTTATTCCACATCCTGTGGTTCTACAATCCACCACTGTTCGTTCTTGAGCACCTATAATTAAAATCATCATAAGTTAGCAAAGCTATGTTTTCAGAGCTGTAGTTTTATTGTGATAAAAATTCAAGGATAGTCAAGCCCAAAAACAAAACTGCATTTGTAAAAGTAGAAAATTAGTTAAAAATCATTTACTCACATTCTATATTAGGATCACCGTTCGGATAATTGCGTGGACAAAAGCACTCTGCTTCGCCCTGAGAGCCGATGTGACACTGAGCGTTTGTACCACAAGATTTATATGCACAGGATTCCATGACGCCACAGAAACATTGTTTATGAGGATTACCGGCACAGTTCGGAGGGCATGTGCACTCGTAGTTCCCATCTTCCAAATCACGGCAACGAGCACTTACTCCGCAGGGGTTCCGTAAACAGCTACCAGCCGGTGGTTTTGAGCATTCTACCCTTGGATTACCCAAATAATTTGGAGGACAAGAACATTGTGGGATTCCGTTTATAGACCGACAAATTGCATTAATGCCGCATGATCCTAAACAAACATTCTTACATTTGCCTTGTGAGCACACTTCATCTGCGCTACATTCTTCATTTTTGGTACATTCATAAGGTTTACATTTTTCAGAGGGGTCACCAGTATAACCGCTTGGACACTTGCAAATAGCGCGATGTCGTACGGCAAAGCATGCAGCATCTTGACCACAACTATTTTCTTTGCAAGCTTTAACACAACGCCTTGAAGAACAGACCATATCATCTCCACAATGTGCATCAATACTACATCCAGGAAAACAAACATTCTGGTGGCATATTTGTCTCTCCGGACATTTATTTCTCACTGAGCAAATAGATCTGCAACCTCCATTGAAGCATTTTTCACCACATGAACAATCAGTATCACTCTCACAAAGAGAAATACAATATCCACTGTCATCGCAAGGGCAATATCCGTCACACAGTATTGTTTTTCTCTTACATTCCACCAAGGCATTACCAGTATAATTACCAGGACAACTACATTGAGCTCTGTGATTTTGTGCTTTGCATTCAGAACATATTCCGCAAACTGTATTTTGACTGCAAGGATCTGTAAAAATACCAATACATTTATAAAATAATACATTAGTATTGGATGTAAGGTTTGGAATATAAGTGAGAAACGCAACGGCACTTAACATTTTTTTATGGATGGGGAATAATATAAACGATACCTCCAATGTTTCTGTATGTGTGTATATCATCATGTTCTCTTACCTTTGCATTGCCCTTTTAAACAGGCTTGGTTAATATCACAAGCATTGTCATCTCGGCAACCTTGTTTACAAATCCTGTTTTCACAAATATAGCCCTCACTACATGCGTCGTCACTATTGCATACAACTCTACATATTCCGCGAATGCACTTTTCATTAGATAAACATATATTGTCACTGAAAATAAATATCATGATTAATAATGTAACTAAGGTTTTTGTTACTATGTCTGACAAAATAAATTATTCATAGCAAGATCTACTTAAAAAAAAAAATATGTACCTCCTACAAGATGGATGACAAGTGCCTCCATAGCAATTGAACCCTTCAGCACAGTTCTTGTTAGAATCACAAAGTGAGATAATTCTTCTGCATACTGATTTTGGATCTCCTGTTAAGGTTGCAGGGCACGTGCATACTGGTTGATGATTTTTGGTAGCACATAACGCATTGGCCCCACATGTAGCAGGTTGTATGCAAGGATCAACACACTGACCTGATAGACAAGCTAAATGATTAGCACAGTTGGAGTTCGATCTGCAGCCTGTGACACATCTTCGCCCATCACAAACTTCTTCATCAGAACATTGGTCGTCTGATGTACAAGCATAACGGCAGACACCAGAATCGCATCTTTCACCTTGCAAACATTGAGAACTATCAACTGTACATGCTGGTCGACAGCGGTCATCCTCACAGCGCCAACCACCAGCACAGTCAGTGTGCATACGACATGATAATGATGGAGCACGTACACAGCCAATGTTAGGTGTAGGGTTAGGTATTAAGTTTTCCAAACATGTGCATGAAGCTTTTCTATCAACAATGGTACAACGTGCGTTGGGTCCACATGGATTGATATCATTAGCGCAAGGATTTTGGCAGATATTACTTTTACAAAACTCATTCGGACCGCAATCTTCATCATGTCTGCAGCCATATTGACAACTGTTTTCCAAGCAAATATGACCCAAGAAACAGTCATTGTCTACTCGGCATGTTACTGCAAAAACATTAAAGATTAAGACTAAACTCAATAAATAAACTAATAATTTAATATAATGACAAAGAGATTTAAATGAAGATACTTACACAAACAAGCGCCTTTACTACATCTCTCATTTAAAGCACAGTTTTCATCAACTGTACACTGTGGCAGACACATAGAGTCTTGACATGTGAACTCATCATCACATTCACCCGAGCCACCACATAATCTTGGTACTACAATCAAATATAATAAATTAATTATTATCATGCTCTACTCGAGAATCCATAAAATAAACTCAACATTTTGATCTTAAAAGATATAGTGTAAGTTAATTTCAAAAAAAAAATTATTTGACATTGAACAGTTATTAATTTGTTTAAACTAAATTTATAATTTCTTGATATTTTATTGTTTGACTGCATGTTGTGTTTATAAACAAAAAATTGAAATAAGTATGTAATCAAAAACAAATCTGTACACACTGTACGCAATTTATATATTAAAAAGATTCTGTAAAATCTATATATCGGCAGATTAAATAATTTGATTAGATTTTAAAATAATACTAACTTCTGACACATTCCATATTTTGATTTCCCGTAAAACTTTGTGGACAGCTACATTCGACTACGTGATTTTCTGTGCGGCATATAGCATTCAAACCACAGGCTTTTTCCATTTGACAAGGGTCTAAACATTGACCATTAAAGCATTTTTCTCGTAAACCACATTCTTCATCCAAGAGACATAAACCTAAATAAAAGTTTGTGTTTAATAACATTTAATTTTCTTTTTTCTTTTTAGACTTCGAGAAACTACTTACTTTTACAAATTCCTTTGTGGCAATATTGGTCATCCGCACAGTCATTTCGTTCGTTGCATGGCTTTTCCTGAAGACGACAACCCTTTTCACTAGTAGGAGTTCCAACATATCCAGTTTTACATTTACATTGGCCAATATGTCTTGCAGCAATGCATTCCGCATTTTGTCCACATTTAACAGTTTCACAAGCATCTATAAAGTTATTTGCCGTTATTAACAATGTTATTACTTTATGTGTAAACTATTACATTATTATACAATGTGTTGGTTAAATATATAGTTACCTGTACATTTACGAATACCATCAACAACCGTACATCGCGCTACAGGTGGACAGTCCTTATTTAATCGACACTCTTGAGCTTGACGACATTCCTCTACGTAAGGATCACCTACATATCCAGGAGGACAAGTACATTGAGCGCCATCTCTAAGATTTTTACATTCCGCAACATTACCACACGGATTTGAAGAACAGTAATTTAAAACGTTGCATCCTTTTATGGGGTCGCCAGTATAACCAGGTTGACAATAGCATACATGCCGGTGTTTTTCAGAAGAACAGATGGTATTTTCACCACAATTGTTTTCTACAAGACAAGCAATTTTACACATATTTCCGTTACATAGTTTATCATCAGAACACTGAGAGTCTGAGTCACATTCTTTTTTTTTGCATCCCAGTAAGGGATCCCCAAAATAACCTGGTGTACATGAACAAGTAGGTTCATGGTTTTTACCAACACACTTTGCTTGTCTTCCGCATGGATGTCTTTCGCACACTTTGACACACTGTGGGACACCTTTCCTTCCCACTCTACATCTTTCATCTTCGTCGCAATCTTGATCTGATACACATTGAATTTCCTTAGAGCAAATTCTGTTTAAACAAAACTGGAAGTCAGGGCAAGTACTATTTGAGTCGCAAGTTATGCGACATGTGTCTTGAATGCAAATTTGATCACTTAGACAATCTCTTGCGTTTTTGCACAAGCCTAAAAACAAATTTTATTAAAGTCAAAGCTTGAATCACATAATAGAGAACCCCGGAAATAAAATAAATGAATGGTATATTCCTACCATCTGGCCTAAGAATTAAATATAATCAAGAAGTATTGACAATTATTGATAAAATAGATTGCTAAGTTTTATTAAAGGACATTGAATTATTTCAAACATATAACACATCATTCTATATAACGCTTAAAAAGGTGTCAACAACATCAACAGTAATGAAGTAATGAATAAGAAGCCTATTAAGTGCTTGTTTATCGAAGTAATCTTATGGGATTTTTTTTCAACTTAGTGAATATTGGAGGTACAAGTAGTACTTACCAACGCATAGATTGTCAACACACTTAGTACCAGACGAACATCTGCTATCATCTGTACAATACTGTATAGGTACACACCCAAGAACAGGATCGCCAGTATAACCAGAAGCACATGAACAATGGCCAATGTGATTGCGAGAGAAACATTCAGCATTTTTTCCACACGCACGAGGTATGCTACAGGAATTTTTACATTTATAATTAACGCACGCTTCTTCTGATGAACAATCGCTGTCTTCAATACATTCGAATTTTACACATTTCTTGTACGGATCACCTTGACTATCGGAGCCACACTCACAAATGGGATTATGTTGCAATACTACACACTCAGCATTTTCTCCACAAGGAGAAAGTTTTTTACAAGGGTCTATACAATAATTTTTATAACATTTAGTTTTCTCAGAACAATCATCGTCAGAAAAGCATTCTCCTGGTAGTCTGCAATTACCAGTGGTTGTATCTAGCACTGTTCCGTTTACACAAGAACATGAATACGAGCCACGGTTATTTATACAATGAGCATTAATGGGACATGGATTACTAAGACATTCGTTTATATCTTTGCAAATATTGTTTTCCAAATCATATCCAGTTGGGCAGGTGCATAGAGGTTTATGGTCTTCTATAGAACAAATTCCTCCTTGACATGCAGTTTCCTCACATTTATCTGTAAAATACACAGAATTTTAATACACAGAATAAATTCATTATACTTGTGAACTTATATTTGAATACTTACCAGAGCATTTGTTATTTCTTTTGTTGCAATATTTTTCATTCGAGCAATCACTATCTTCTACGCACTCTACTTTGAAACAACCAATTTTCTTATCGAGTGGATTTCCAAGAAAGCCTTTCTCACAGGAACATGTTACCCTATGATTCACAACTGAGCATATCGCATTTAAGCCACAAGCTTTTCTTTGACATGAGTTGGAACACTTTCCTCTTATACAAGCAAGTGAATCATCGCATTGGTTATCATTTCTACATTGATTCGGTAATAGGCAACCGCTTGTATAAGGATCACCAATTGCCCCTACTGAACACACACATTTGTAAGATCCAGGTGTGTCGACACATTGGGCTGATGGATGACATGGATTGTTAAGACATTCATTTATGTTTATACATTCATCATTAGACATTTCAAAACCTTCAAGACATAGACATTTCGTTGATCTGCACAACTGATTATTCAGGCAATCGGAATCTTCTTTACAACCAGAAACACATATACCTGAACTACAGTGTTCACCGTGCAAACAGTTACTACTTGAATGACAAATTTTATGACATCTATTATCACTACATTTTTCTCCTATGGCGCATCCAGAATCATCTTGACATGGCACTTGACAGAAATATCCGATGCACATATGATCTGGGGGGCATTCCGATGTTCTAGTGCATGAACTTGGTTTCCGCACGCATCCTTGTTGAGGAGTTGGTGTTCCTTGAAATCCAAGAGGACATTCACACCTGGTACTGTGTTCACTTCTTGAACAAATGGCGTTTGGACCACAAGCTCTTGTTGATAAGCAAGGATTAGTACATTTATTATTTAAACATGCTTCTTCACTGGGACAATCTCCATTACTTCTACATCCAATCAGACATTGCCCTCCTACACAAGCTTGTCCGACGCCACATTGTGTATGTTTAGCACATTGTGTGATACAAAAATGTTTAACACATGACTCCCCTGGGTCACAATGGCTTGAATTCTTACAAGCCGTAAAACATTGTCCATTTGAGCAAATATCTCCAATGCAATCTAGTTCAGTTGAACAAAGCAATATTTTTTTCTTACATGAGTTGTTTTTAATGCTTTCGTAACCGTCGGGACACATACAAATTGCTTTTCTGTTAACAACTTTGCACAGTGAGTTAGTTCCACAAGCACCCTCACAAGGATTGACACAACGGTTATTGACACACGCTGTCTCTAGTGGACAATCTTCATCACCATTTGAACATTGGTCTTGCTTTCGGCAAGCTCCATTTAGGTCTTCTACATATCCTGTTGAGCATCTACAAACAAATGATGAATGTCGTGGTTCACAAACAGCTGTAGGATGACAAGGAGTGGGGTTGCAAACTTCAATCTTTTTGCAGTTAACATCTGGTAGAGGGTCTGCCTTATAACCATTTGGGCACTGACAGTTTGGTTTGTGATTTTCTGCTATACACACGGCATTCTCACCACATGATTCCTCTCCACAAGCGTTTATACATGTATGTGTTATACGGTTACATAATTCGTGGGACAGACAATCTGCATTATAAATACAAGGGACAGATTGACATCCTTTCTCTAAATCATTCGGGTTTCCGGTAAAAGGACCTGATGGACATTGACATTTAGCAATATGATTGTTAGTCACGCATACTGCATTAGGGCCACATATTATATTTTGACAAGCAGAAACACATTTTTTAATGTCACCCACGAGTTTGCATAATTCGTTTTCTCGACACTGTGCATCATCTAAGCATTGATTCTTGTTTATGGCAATACAGCCATCACGGTCATTTGGGTTGCCTGCAAAACCAGTTAAACATTCACATTGGCTTTTATGATTTCTCGAAACACATTTAGAATTTTGCGGACATGTGAATAAAGAACAACCGTCTTGACATTTTTTAACTCCAAGTATATCTCTTTGACATGACATATTGTCATCACAGTGCTCATCGCTTTCACAATTTGGTGTTGAAGGTTGCTCACAATTAGCATTTAAAGAATTCCATAGAAAGCCCTCTTTACACTCACAGCTTGGGCTATTTGCTACAATTTTGCAAACTTCATTGGCACTACAAGCGATTGTTGAACATAAATCAATGCATCGCCTAGCTAAACCATCTACTGATATACATAATTCTGGTTCATTACAATCACGGTTTTCATTACACTCTAGCTCTGGTATATCTCGCGTATCTAAATGGCAGCCAATTATTGTGTCAGTAGGTTTTCCGATATATCCTTCTGCGCATATACAATGGGCTTGATGATTTGCACCTATGCATAGAGAGTTGGGTCCACACTGCAATTTACTGCAAGAATCTACGCATTTTCTCACATTTTTAGCTATTTGGAAGCATATTTCAGAATCTTTACAATCTCCGTCCACCATACATTTATTGTCTGGAACACAGCCTCGTTGTAAGTCGTTCGGATTTCCACTATGGCCAGGTAGACAGTGACAATTTCCTTCTTCACAGAGAGATTTTGGGCCACAAATCATACTGCTACATACATCAACGCATTTTGATTTTTCACAAAGAAAGCCTTCGGGACAAGTAGTGTTATGAGAGCACGTGCAGATATTTCCATCTGTGCATTTAGTAATAGAAACTTGTGAACATAATTCGTAAGGATTTCCAACATAACGACTTTTACAAATACAACTAAAGCTGCCAGGTGTATTAATACAGATTGCATTTTCAGCGCAAGGCTTACTGCTACATTCATCTATATCTGTGCACTGGATATTTGGATTGCCAAGATAGCCCGGAGGGCATAAGCATTCAACATGAGATCGTGTTTGTTGACATACTGCATTGGCGCCACAGGAGGCTTTAGCACAAGTAATTTGTCTCCTAGGCAGACATTTAACATAAGGGTTTCCAGTAAAGCCTTTGTCGCATTTACATATATTGTTTTGTCCATAAACACAATGTGCATTTTGAGCGCAATCAGGATCACACGCTGGAGGCGACACAGCTGTAAAATGATATTAAATTATTAGTACGTACTAAACTTGGAAAAACATAACCAAATCCTATTACTCTTCAACTATTTGAAACTAAAAAATATTTGTAACTTACGAGGCATGCATAACAAATCAGGATTGCCAACAAAGAATGCATTGCAGACGCATCTGCCGCTTTCTTCATCGCATGAAGCGCCAACACCACAAACCACACCTTCACAACGTTGTCTACAACGACCAGCCACACACATTAAGGGTTTCTCACAAGGTATGCCCGGGCCACAAGTGTCTCTTCTGCAGGCGCCCCCAGGGAATGGATTTCCAACCATACCCTCTGGACATACACAAGTTGGACCCGTTTTTGATATTATACATTGAGCACCGGAAGCACACGAATAAGTATCACACCCTGAAAACGAAATTTTTTTTATTAAAATTGAACTAAATTTTACAAATCATTTTTTGTAGAAGTTATTTAGTAATATATTTTATATATTGTGCTAGAACTTGCTCGCAGCTTGTCTAGCGTAATATTTTTTAATGTCGTATCTGAATTCATATTGTTAAAATGGTGAACTACAGCATAATAGAATAGAATATGCTTTATTGCACCAATTATTACACCAATTACAGTAAGTTGGTTCAATATTACAGATGGATATGTACAATGGGCCTTATTGCTAATAGCAATCTCTTACAGGCAACCTTTGGATGGACAAATCGACAGTAGATAAGAAGAAACAGTGGGTAGTCTAGGTGTATTGAAGCTAATGTAGTGTAAAAATAAATAAATAGACATTATATAATTATACATACATACAAATACATATATCTATTATATATACAATATAAGTATAAACAACTTATATTGATAACCATGAAAACATTAGTCATGTACAGTTATTGGAAGCAAAGGGTACCATGAACTATGAACTCAAGTAGTGAACTTTGACCATATTTTTAAATGCCGTCAGTGTTCGGGCACTTCTTATAGATATCAGCAAGACGTTCCATAATCTGACAGCCTGCACCGTGAAAGATTTGTCATAGAATATGGTAGTGTGGCTAGGTACCATTAGCTCCAAAGATTCCGACGACCCTAAGGATCTCAGATGTGTGTCACTGAGGAACACAAAACGTTCCTTTAAGTAAGGAGGGGTTAATGGATTGAATAAAATACTATAAAGTAAATATGTGTATTCCATCGAAGTCGAATTGGGAGCCACTTGAGTAATTTACGAAATTGAGTCACATGATCATATTTGCGTAAACCAAATATAAATCTAATGCAGAAGTTTTGAAGGCACTCAAGTTTATCAAGTTGCTCCTCAGTGATATCGAGATAGCTGACATCAGCGTAATCGAGTATAGGGAGCAGCCGGGAAGCAGAGCGTAATAGTTTCAACTAATAAAGGCATAACATTTCATCGGTTAATTTAATTTTTTGCAAGTGTTTTGCAAGCGTTTGCGAGCTTATACCTATTTGTTTTGTATTTTGTGTGTATTCATTTCTAGTGTATTCTTACTACGATTCCTGTGATATGTGGTATCACTCCGGTCGAGGTGGCCCAAATATGCCGTAGCATGACTCTCTTACGAGATGATTGATAAGAAAACCACTATATATTAGATTAAAGCTAATAAATAAATATTTTAAAGTCACTGATAAGTTACTCACCAGATATACATTTACCACCTTCTGGTTTCGTATAGCCAGGATTACAACGACACCAAGCAGCATGGTCGTCAACTTGACAAAATGCATTTGGTCCACAAGTAACACTTGTACAAGGTGACTGGCAAGTGCTGTTCAGACAAGCGAGAGTATTTGCACATTCATCGTCGGAATCACACGCTAAGCGCTTTACTGTGGGTGGGACCTCAAAAGTACCTGTAGAAAAAGGGACATATTAAATTATACTATTCCATTTTACAGTAAAAGTTCCTTATTCGCGTAGAAAAGAAAAACGGAATAGTAATTTGTAGGAAACTATAGGCGATTTCCATCCTAAGGTCATGTCATTGTGTATCTGCATTCAAGCTCATGAGTATGTCTAGTTTATTCAAAACTAGATTGACCTTAAACTCTAAATCCCTTTTCTTTTTCAAATAATTTTGAAATTTTCTTATTTGCGTTGCGACTATTAAACGCAAATAAAGGACCCGTAAATAAGAAGCCTTTATATAATTCGACAAATAATAATAATATTTTCGGACATCTGACACAAAACGCCATCTTGTTTCAAACTAAGCAGTGCTTGTACTATGAAAGTTATATTTACTGAAAAAATACTTATTTACCTTCTTTTTGTAAATACATACATATTATACATAGAAAATAACTCCGAAACAAATATTTGCAGATAGTACAAACATTTGATCCGACCCAGGAATCGAACTCGAGACCTCAGCACAGCCGTCGCATACGCTACCACTGCACCACCGAAAATACAAATACTTTTAACCCTTAAGGAATCTACTAATAAATTATTTATAAATACTTACATCCATTTTTGTATGGATCACCAACTAGGTTTGGAGGGCATTCGCAGCGGTATCCGCCTTTTTGATCATGACAAATCGCACCAAATGCACAAGGTGCGCTGTGACATTCATTGGTATTAGTACATCCTGTATATGGGTCACCTTCAAATCCAGATAAACACATGCATCGAGGAGGATCGCTGGGTGTACATTTAGAGTTTATACCGCAAGTGAACCTTTCACATGGACTCTTGCATTTTTGACCATCAGTAACATCTAAATAAAATGGTGGAGGGCACACACATTGACCAGGTTGAATACACTTTTCGTTTGGAAAACAGTCAGAATCGCTGATACAACGTTTTTGGTTAAGTGTACAATGTCCAGATATTGAATCTTGGCTGTAACCTGAAGGGCATTTACAGATGTAAGAACCAATTGTATTTATGCATTCTGCACCAAATCCACAAGCTGGTTGGCCAGTTGTGCACTCATTTATATCTTCACATGCACCCTCTGCGGTTTGAATAAATCCAACTGGACATGCACAGTAGCTGACACCATCCGAAATTATAATACACTCTGCACCATTTCCACATTTGTTATTTTTTGTGCAGCCCGAGAGCACACAATTTCCATTGACTAATTTGTATGGAGGCTGACATTGACAAGATATGTCATTGCATATTTCACATAGGTTATATGGATTTCCACTATATTCTGCAGGACACTTGCATTCATAGCTTCCTGGCAAATTTTTACAAATTGCATTCAAACCACAAGGCGACCGACCACTTTGTGTGCATTCATTAATATCTTCACATAATCCTGTTTCCTTACTGCGTGAAAATCCTTGAGAACAGACACAAACGTTTTCTCCATTGTGTAAAATGCATTGTTCTCCCTGTGGACAGGGATTAACGCTACTGCATTCACTTGGAACTTTTCCAGGAACGCAGCCGTTAACGTAGGGATCACCACTGAAGCTACCCGGACACTCACACTGATAATGCCCTGGAAGGTTTTTGCAAACCGCACCAGAACCACATGGGTTTTCGTTACACTCATTAATGTCCTGGCAACCAGTTGGAGATGATGCATCGCCAGCAAACCCACTTTTACATGAACATTGTGCGATTTGTTCATTAAGAAGGCATTCAGAATTACTTCCACAGTGTAATGTCTCGCAAGGATCTGTAAAAAAGATATGAATTACAATTTACATCACAGCTACAATTAACTTTTTATAGATATTATCTCTTTTTGCAAAACATACTCACGGCGACATTCGTTTCCAACATTTGGCTCTGGACACAAACATCTTGCGTTAGAATCACACACTGCATTTCCAGGACAATCATTGTCATTTTTACATGAAACTATTTCAACACATCGTGCCCTAGGATCGGGATCTGGTATCGTACCTTCGGGACATTCGCAATTATATGAACCATCTAGATTATAACATTCTGCGCCAAAGCCACAAGCTCCGTCTATTTGACACTCATCAATATCAGTACACTGTTTATAAGCATCACCGGTGTATCCTTCTGGACACTCACAAGTAAAACTTCCTGGAGTATTAGTACAGCGTGCATAATTGCCACATTTACCGCTAGCAGGCTCCACTGTAGCATCGCATTCATTGATATCTATACAACCTGCTGCGATATCCGCTGGATCAAATGTCCATCCATCTTCACAGACGCAATATGCTTCTATTCCATCAGGTTTACAGAATGCATGCTCACTACACTGCACATCCTCGCATGGAGCACGGCATACTACATGAGGTGGAGCACCAGTGAATCCAGTAGCACACTCGCAATTATACCCACCTGGAGTGTTTACACACACTGCATTCTCTCCACATATTGAAGAATTGGCACATTCATCAATGTCAATACAAACTGATCCTCGAGCATCAAAGCCGTTCTTACAAAAACATTGGTTCTCAATACATTCAGCATTATTGGTACAATCAAAGTTTGATTTACATAGTGTATTAACATCAACCTGGAATTGATTATATTATTTAAGCTCATCGTCACCATAATTTATACATAAAATATAACGATCAGTAACGTTACCTGTTCACAAGCAATCTGAGGATTCGGTTTGGCTGTGTATCCTTGTGGGCATATACAATTGTAACCTGGCACAGCATTTTCACAAATTGCATAGGTGCCACAAGGATGTTCAAGGACTTCACACTCATCGATGTCTCTACATCCTCCTGGCGTTCGAGCATCTCCTGTGTATTCTGGCTTGCATGTACATACGAAGCTGCCCAGTGTGTTGGTACATAATGCATCAGCGCTGCATACAGGTTTGCTACTCTTACATTCATCTATGTCTGGTATAACAAACAACGCAACGTCTAATTATAAACAAAACGTGTGTGATTACCGATATGTAAAACCACAGTAGGTACGCCAACAGCCACTATGAAGAGCAAGTGATAGATACATAGATGTCAATGAAGGCGAAAGTAGTACCGATAAAAGAAGAAGAACCGCTCTTGAAAATGATAATAAGAACACGAAGAGATGAAGTAAGAAATCCTTCGGTATCACGCTTAAACACATATGTAAGCGTAATCGTCGAAAAGTTATATTGTTGCCGAAGACACGGCGAAATCTATCAGAAGACACTGAAAATTTAGATCTGTTTAGATGTTTCTAATGTTAGGATCAGTTAAATTAGTAAAAGCGTGAAGCTACCGCGCAACGACGTCCAGTGATTTTGTGCTCGGTATGTTAAACGCCATCAAGGTAAGTGATTGTCACAAAGCGTTAGACCATAGAAATTAAAAACTGTTAGATTCAGGTCACACCTACTACTGACGTAACTAATAGAAGCTTACCAATACACTGTACATGTGCGTCTCCATCAAAACCTGGTGGGCACACACATCGAAAACCGCCTGGTAGATTTTCGCAAAGAGCACCAACGCCGCAAGAAGAATGAGCGCATTCGTCGTGGTCTCGACAACCAACGCGAGGATCACCCTCATAGCCAGGCGGACAGCTGCACTCGTAGCCTCCTTCCACGTTTCGACAAATGGCTCCAGGGCCACAGCTTTTGGTGTTCGTGCACTCGTCGATATCAACACACTACATGTGCAAAAAATCTAAATTAATACATTAAAGTAACCTGAATTCGCAAAGGCATGCAAACAAAGTAACAAGATTACTATAGGTAGAAAAGTTAAGGTCCTGTTATTCTGAATGTCAGGTGCCGGACATTAGAAAGATAGAAAGATTTACATAACAACAGTATGAGCAGTCAACTTTTCTTTAGGACATAGTATTTACAAAGACAATAATCTAACATGTCGATAAACAAATACATATATATTCTGTAAAATAATAAATTCACATACGCCATCGAAAGCATTGCCAGTATAACCAGCTTCGCACACACACGTGTAGTTTCCTGGGAAGTTTTGACAATCAGCATTCACGCCACAAGCGCCGGGCCGTCGACATTCGTCAATATCTACAACATCCATATGATTATTATGATATTTAAATGCTAGAATACATAACGTACTCCAAGAGTAAACTAATAAGCAACACAGAGTCGACTACGATGCGAGCCAGTTTATATATACAGTTGACGGTTTAAAAGTACCTCGGCACTCTTCTTCGCCATCGCCCTCGAAACCTCGGTTACATTTGCAAATAAAATGAGCTGGCAGGTTACAGCACTCTGCGTTAGCAACACAACGTGCCGATACTGCCGGATCCTCGCACTCATTTATATCTGTAAAAACATGTTTTATTATTATTTGAAATTGACTAAAGTTTAATGATATAGATTACACAATCACACAAAATTGTAAAATGCACCACCATTGCAAATCTCTAGTTCTTCAGATGACCCCACACAGGTGTTGTCTTTATTCTACAAAATACTGTGTCCAATCAGTTTATTATAATTAGGAATACTTTATTTCATATAAAAAATATATGCCGGCAATATTTTAAAAATGATCGCAATGCGTTTATTTACCTCTGCAAGTGAAACCGTCGCCTTCGTAGCCTGGGAAACACGAACACTGGAAACTACCAACCGTGTTCGTACAGTGTGCAAAAACATCGCATGGTCTTTCTTTACATTCGTTTACATCTATAAATAAACAACAGGATAAGTATAATGATATGTTATAGTTTTTTCAAAACCGTTGTAAGGCTTAAACACTTACCAGGTTCTTGGCAGTTGCATCCGCCAAAACCATCATTACAATGGCACACCCCGTTTAGACAAGCACCATTTATACATCGGGCGCCATCTTCTTTGGTACAATCATCTACAATAATATGCATATTGTAAATAAGAACAAATTGATAAATTAATAAACAACAACTGTTTCAGCTATGTACTGCTTTTTATTCTTATAATGTGTATAATCGATGTGATCATTTTAGGTAGTTTTACTTTATTTCGGCAAAAACTTTAACTACTACATATTGCATTTTTAATAAGCTAAGCGGTTCTGTATGGCTGATCACACTAATAAAAAATTTCAGTGAGGCATAATAAAAATAATAGCATCAACGGTCTTTCCTTAGTAACATTTTCTAATCACCATCTAACTAAGAAACAGCTGTAGTTACTCGCTTAAATTATTGGTGTTACGTAATCGTGAGTCCATCGTACAGTCCATGTTTATGTATTAGCAAATAATTTAATAACAAAATGTTATAACTAACTCTATCACGCTTGTAATTTACCGGGGTGTGGACACTATCCGAATGGAGTAGTTATTTTACTAGCACTATGCTAGGTTTGTAGTAGCATAACTTTATCGAAAATTAAAAAAGAAATAACTATATGTCAATCCTTCATATTAAATTTTATATTTAGAAGCGTTCTCTAACAGTAAAAGACATAGAGTTAACTCGATGTAAAACATATAATGTCTTGGAACACCTACAAAATACATATGTATTCACACAATAAAAGGAACCATTAAACGTACTGTCTTTGAATAAAACATTTCTGGCAGTTGTATAATTACTGAATATGATTAATTTGTCTTACCTGTACATTTCAACTCTGACTTGAGCTCGTCGGATCCCTTATAGCAATCCGAAACACCGTCGCATAACTTTGATAATTCATATAATTGTAATATTTGTGTCGATTCGTTTACTTGACAGCCAAAATAGCCGTCTTCTAAATTTAAGAAAAATACTTCTCGTTTTATTCCTAATCCTATTCCATATTGGCTTTGTGTCGCTACCTGTGAAAAAAAGTATTTTAATTAACACTTTTATTACCTTCACCGAAACAATTATTACAAAGATCAACCTTTGAATAGAGAAACTGAACCATGACACAATACCTACAATAATAAAAATATATTTGCATTTTATATAATTACAAAATAACAAGTAAATAACTTCTCTTATTTTACACAATTTTATGAATTAGGCAATGAATTTTTGACCAATACTGGGCTTTTTAATCTGAGGTCAAAGTTAATTTCAGTAAATAGTTAGCTCGTATTAAGTAAGAATGGTTGACAACTGGCTAACTGCCTTAGTGAAAAAATAAATTTAACGTTCCAATTATTATTTTTTATGTGTGGAAACCCCCTCGGGCCGTCACCCCACCGGGGTTTGCGGCGAGGTGGTGTGTTGGAATCCACACGGTGTGCCACTCTGCGCTACAGGCGCAGAGTGGCACACCATATAGGAGAGATCTCCTAGCGCCTACCCGCAATAGGGCGGGCACCATCTTCGGCTACATTCTCTCTCGGCGGACGTCGCCTAGGCGCCTAGCCGTTATGGCAGGTGGTAGGGAAAACCCGTCCCGTCCATCCGCGGCTACACTCAGGATGGCATGAGGCGCTGCCTCCGCCGCCCGGTTCATCCTCTCATCGAGATCATCCTCTTGGGTCCACTCCGCCGCCTCCTTCTGCGAGCCATGTCACTGTCACTACCGGCCATCGAACGTATGACGGCCGGTAGCGAGAGATCCTCTCCAATGATTGCAATGAGGACCCGACGCTGCGACGCCCAAACTGGGCAAATTGCCAGTGTGTGCTGAGCCAAGTCCTCACTGCAATCGCGACCACGCAACTATGACCGGCTGGAGCGACTCCACGGTGGCAAAACCAGCACGTGGAGCCTCCAGCCAGGATGACCATCCGTATCCATATGATGAGCCATCGTGGCTCGACGAGCGGCCTCACGCCACTCGCGTAATTTTTCTGGCGGGGGCCGACTGCCGCTAACCGCCTGGAACTCATCCGTCCGCCGATATACTTCGGCGAGCACTTCACAAGTCCCACGGGGAGTCTGAATCCGCGACGGTTGGAAAATCATCCTCGTTCTCCCCGTCGTCTCCGACCAAGGAGGCCATCGACAGGGGTGTGTGTTCCACCCGTCGCGGGAAAAGGCCCTCAACCACTGTCTGCAGGAAGCAACGTTTCAATTCTACATTAACCTATTCTCTCGTAGTCTAGAGAACGTGTTAACAGATATTTTATATCAATATTCAAGTTTCTTTAGGTACTGATGACATAATACTTTTTTCAATAAGCGGTTTTATTGTGGAATCAAAAATATATTCTAAAACTCACATATGTCGTTGTTGTGACTAAGAGCGTCCAAACCACGAGCGGTAAGGTGTCTATATACATTGTCTCTGAAACAAAAGAAAACGAGGATGAGCATTTTGAAACATATATTTTCTGATCTCAGGAAGTCAAAGAAATCAAACTAATAATTTTTTTAAATGAAATTAATAAAAAAGGGGCACAATTATATTCACTGTATGCAGAGGTCACCTCTTTAAAGTTTTCTACACATAAAGTGTGAACATTCAAATGAGCTTGATTTGTATCGAAATGAGGAGTATCATAATTAGGAGTATTGAGGTTATAAGATTTCCACATGAGAAATGCACTTAAGATCTTATACATATATTTTGCTTAAAAATATTTGTTTTCTTAGCGTGGTTACAAGTTATTACACCACAGCCTCAAATCATCACGAAGTGTTTTATATGGTAAGTAGTAAATATACAAAAGTTTTTGAGTTCGCAGAAAGTATTTCTGGTACTTTTTAGTACTTATTTGAATTAGAACCACATAGACCAGGACTTAGATTAGAAAGACATCTGTATGTTAGCACGGTGTAAAGATGAGGTAAATAACGTCCTAAGACTTTTTTATATTATCACCACAATCATCTTACCACCACCACCTTTATCATCAATATCGAAGTACGAGTATATTCCAATAGGACCCCTATTTTGCCGTGACAGACTGTGTTCGTAAAGTAAAGAAAGAAGTAAAGCTTATAACTTTATTATACATAGTTTTTCTATAGCGTTTAAGTTCAAAATATTTAAATATTTTATTTTTGTAATTAACTCTACCTACTCTATAAATATTCGATTAATGTTACAACAATAAAGAAGAAATTAATATCGCTTTTTTATGGTATAAGGGGCAACGTTGCCCATGCGCACCTACAACTTAAGAGACACTAGTGCCTTACCGCTTTTTGATAGCCCATGAGTTGAGAGAGAGAGAGAAAGAAAAGGTTAGGTTTCTGGTAACCTCATTCACTTAGTAAAGAGCAAGGTTTTCTATGTAAACATGGTATCACTGTACTCTTTTATGCATTATAAAACAGAAATTATCTACCCTCTCAGTTGCAAACATCCCTGACGCACTATAGCATTATGGCAGCCCCAAAAGAACCCTGAAGGTATTATTATATTGGAACCGCAGAGCACTGAATGCCCTTTTGGTACAGTCCACCCACAGACTACACGTGTAGAACGTCTGCAAATAGAGAGATTTTTACCATGCAGACCTATGGGTTAACATATTACCACGGGCCACTAAATATTATACTACGAACTATTAAATACTACATGTATCAAATGGTAAGTATTCATAGTAAATAGAGACAATTTATTTAATCATTTCAGTTATTAAATTTCGTTTGCTTATGTGCAGTTATTAAAGTTATGAAGATCGTAGGTACTTAAGTTAAATAACTGTATCTCTAAATCAGAGAACGTAGAAATATTACTAACAGTATACAGTTTTCGTTTAGCCAAGATAAAGGCGAAGGCTGCAGTCCGAGGCCATATAACTGTGTGAGCGTTACATTTATCAGTTACCTACTTAACTATTTGGTAGCGATAAAACTGACTATGAGTGCAGGTCCGATACTTTGTTCACATTTGGCTGTTACTTAGTAATGTTTCATGTTTAACTGTATGTCTGTTTACGAGTGCATTTGCACTTCACCTAACCGCAAAATGCCGTTGTGCCAGTTCTTTAGTATTTACATGCATATTATTACTTGTACCCAGTGATAAAAATTGTCATTGTTACTGAAAGTAAACGCAATAGGCACGAACTTAAAATATTAAAGTAATAATTTAGAGTCAGAGTCAGTATTTTACATGTTATTTTACAATGTTCTTTGACTTCATGATATTGCCTTTTAAAATATCAGTATCTGTCTTAACTCGTTTAGTACAACGTTTCTTTCTAAGTGATACAGTGAACAAAAACATACCTAACAATATAATTATAATATGATGTTATTATTAGTCTCTTAAATATTTCTATCGTTGTCTAGTATTGCCTGTCGTTATCGCAAATGTCTTGAACCATACTTTTTATGAAGCAGTGATAGTGAAAACGTCTACTTGATCAGTTAAGCTTTAAGAATCCCAATTATAAATGTTAATTAAACCATAATCCACTTTTCACTTGTCTCTTTTTGAGAACACATGAAGTCGTTTGTATAAAGCTAAATTGTAATTGTAAATTAAAATATACTACAAATGTAAATATATTTTATATTTCCTGATGTTCTATAACTCGTAAAATGATATCCATTAAATAGTTATTACAAGACTTTGTCAACTTTTTTTTTTTTTTTTTTTTTTTTTTTCCGTGCGGAAATCCCCTCGGATACCACCTGTCGGTGGCATGTCGGACACGAACCGACTAAAACCGCACGCCTTCGCCGGGTACTAATAGCCGGGGAACCAGGTATACCCTAGAAAGGAAGGCCCTGGTGCAAGACTTTGTCAACTAATCGATTATTTAGTGATAAGAACAATATTTTTGCATGTACAATTGTTGTATAATGGTGTTAAGGCAATATTAGCCATACAAATCGTATGCATATCACGTTCTGTTACTATGAGTACAACACTCCCAGTCAGAAATCGCGACTACGTCTGATGGTGTCGTAAGTTGCGTAGGCAGCAACCATTACGTCTGTACTAAGGTCACAAATGACACTCAGATAAAACGCCTTTTATTGTTTTCAATAATCGTAATCCTTGACACCTTAAAGTACTTGTCACGAACACTTATTCATATTTTATTGTTGACAATTTGTTTAAAATATTAAGAATATATAATCCTAGCTAATATTCTATAAATAAATGCGAATATGAGTTTGTTTGTTCGTTACGCTTGAACGTCTTAACTCGTTAAGAGATTACCATGAAAATATGCATATATATTGTCAGATGTTCAGAACAGGACACAGTGTACCTTTCTTCCAGAAGTAAATTGCTGTTTTTGAGAAATATCTGAATTAATTTTCTACATCAACATTTAACCAATTAAGGTAGACTAAACTATGAAAAATAAATATAAAAATTAACAAGACAAGGTACTCAACTATTTAATTGTGGGGCTGATTCACTGAATTCAAAGCAAACGATCCGATACGACAAAATAATGGTCTATAATTCCATTATATCGTAGCATAATAGAGAAGTCTGAGGTATCAGAGGATATTTTCTTTATCTTAATGTTACAGCTTAATTTTATCTATTAATACTGTTAGTAGTCCTCAAAGGGTAATTTTTCTTTATTTCTGTCTGTAGGGCTTAAACTAACCTTTAGTTTTTGAAAACAGTCAAGTCAAATGAGTTTTTCATTCTATGTTTATTTAAAAAACTGTAGAACCATACTAATACCATACCAAAACGTGAACCAACTTATTGGTTTCACCAAACCCCAATTTATGAAATTTAGAAACATTCAGATATAGTCCTTTCAGCTGCTACAACTTTTGTAAAAAAAAAAGGGTAGAAGATATTTTTATAAGCAAGTAAAGAGACGCGTGGATTCTTTTGATAATTTACAATTTAAATATAAGTAAAATATATGAGTCGGTGTTTGGTGTGCGTTTCATGTAAGTCTGTAAGGTCCCCTGCGACACAAGATTTATCAATAGTGCGGGAGTTGTTTTTTAAAAAAAAGAAAGAGTTGATCTTTGTACTCCATAAACATTATCTGGAGCATAGAAAATAATAAAGAGACAGAAAAATTAGTAACATGTTAACAAAGCAGTTGAGATAATAAGGGTGTCTTAAAACAATCAAAACACGAATTTATGTACACATTAATATGTCTATATGTCAAATAATTGTTGATGGTTATTTATTTAACTGATCATAGATGTGAGGTCCGCCCATTAAAAGCGGTAGACTGGGGTCAACGACTTGCTCAATGGACATTATGCTTGACAGGCTATGGTCTAAGAGGTTATAAAACACTATCATGCACTATCCCTGTTCTTATTGTTTAATAGGCTTCTTACAACCCCGGGTTATAACGAACCATACAAAATTACTAGAAGTGTGATGAATAATTTAAAATAGTATACTCATACTTGGACACATTGCTATCTAGACTTAAACCTAAACTTATAAGTAGAAAGTAATTTATCTTAGAGTTAAATACTACAACTATATGCTATATATGTAAATAGAAATTCATTAAAACTGAATATTATCTGTTTGTTAAATATTTTGTAAGTACTGCCATTCTTTAAATTATAAACCAGTGAATCGCTGGTAATTCGTTTTCCATAGTTGGTATATTTAAATCATTAATTGATACAATTATTATACTTTAAGAGACAGGGTTTGAATAGTGTATTTAATGTACCAGTATATGTATGCTTCATAGTTATGATTCTATTACTAATAAATAGTGCACTGCATTAGTTTAATTTTGGTGAAATAAACTTATTATTATTATTCTTAATTAAGGAAGCTACAGCAATACAAAGTTTTTTAAAATTTATAGAGGCGTACATAGAGACTCAACAAGCACACGTTATAATGAAAGTGAAAAATCATTAAACACTGAACAAACTGCAAACTCATCAAAATATATCCGTCGTAGTGTCCAGTGTCTACCCACTGAGTATTTAACCTTACGTCATGAACGAAGTAAAGGCGGCATGTGGGTTTGCGTGTTCGAATGTGGTAAAATGCGTCAGCGAGTCAACCGCGCCGCGCGCCCGCTTACTCCGTTCACTTTCACGTCCCGCGTCGTATTCGCTCTACCATTTGTACTCCGTTACTGAAAGTGGGCTGCAAACGAACAATGTCTCAACGCAATTTCTCTCCTCGCAAACAATTCCCATCTGATTGTCACTGTATCTTGTCAATTTCATTCATCAGTAAGAACAGCAACAAGAGTTATTAAAGATAGACATACTCGTATCTCCACATATTTATAAATTGCTGGGTTTTCCCCAATCAACATTCCTTGATAAGAAGTAGCCCATATGCTATTCGAGTTTATAATCTAACTCTGTGTCTTATTCATTTAGTTGCGTTCAACCGTTCTGGCATGAT